AAGCAAAATTCAAAATACTCGATGTCGGAAATCGAGATCAAGGGAGCAGTTAACACATACAGGGGACATGGGAAACGGTTCCGAAACCGTGGCTCAGATCGAAGATCAAGGGAGCAGTTCTCTTATGCGTGAGAACGTGGAATGCAGTTTTTAACTGTAAGACTGAAGGTACGTGCACGTAGGATCGTGGTGACATTTTTATTAACCACTCTTAGGAGGTTACTTGAAGGATGCTCTATAAATAGAGCGAAGACTAGAAAAAGAAGTGGGAATTGGCAGAGAGAACAGAAATACTAGTGAAAAGTCTACCGGAGAACGACAAAATCATGAAGTTTCTGGCGATCTGGATTTCTTTATCGCTTTCTTTACTTTCCCTGGTAGTTTACGTTCATGCAATTTACTTTGATGCAGTTTATGTTCATGCAATTTAAGTTTCTGTATTTTCAATTTGCAATGTAAAACTCTGTACTTAAAATTTCCTGTCATTTAACGTTTCTGCAATTTCGATTTCCTGCTATTTACATGTCTCGCAAATTCAATTCCTTGCCATTTATATTTAATGCAATTTGAGGTTTCCGCATTTTACATTTCTTTGCAATTTAATATTCTCATGATCGCTTTCGATTCGACATTTTTACTGTTTTCTTTACTTCGAGTATTTTAAATACAAAATATCAAAAACAGCATTTTCGATTGTTAATCTGCACATTAGGTTGCGTTGTTATTATTTTTGGACACTACGATTTTCGATTCTCATACATATTTCGATTGAAAATCGTTTGCTAGCTTAAGTAAAAAGAATCTACGTGGTTGGAATTTGGTTAGAACTAAATCCCTTAGAAATCGAAATCGATCAAAATTCCACCAGAAACAGTAATATAAGATATTATCTCTCCGTTAATATATATATATATATATATATATATATATATATATATATATATATATATATATATATATATAATATGCCTAAAATGTTTATTTGATTTAAATGGATTCCGTTGCAAATCTAGTTACTTCTTATTTTATTTATTTCATTATTTGATTTAAATAGAGTATAATCGATAATTCTTCAGTTATATTCTAAACTGTTAATGTAGTGTATATTGAAATGAAATATGACAACTATTTTAATTTTTTTTTTTTTTTGTATGATGTACATGAGAACTTTTATTTTAACCATTAGTTATCTTCTTATAATCAATCATGAAGAATTGAAATAAGTTGTACAATCCTGAATTAAAACTTTAATAAGTGTAGTTATTTAAGTAATTTAATAGCTATAAATATGTTATTATTTAGTTATTTTTTTTAAATGAATACTTTATAATTTTTTTCTATATCAAAATAACATAAAAACTCTGATTTAAGTAAAATCCTGGTTAAGAAGGAAACTTATATAATCAATAGACAAGTTATCTTTTTTACACATGATTTATCATTTTTGTCACATAACATTGCACACCCCAAATTTCCAACTCTTTCACCTTAATTACATTCACTATTTTCTCATCTCATTTACATTGTCAATCATCATCTTTTATGTTACTTATTCATTACATTTTCTCATTTCTTTAACTTTTTTTTTTTTTTCTATCAACTCCTTCTATCTTCTATTGTAAAGTGAAAGAAGAGGTGAGTATTACAAAAGAAAAATTATAAGACCCACGAATCTCACGTTTATATATGAGTTGTTAATCTCACATTTATATATAAATCGTTTTGGCGTACGTGAGATCTATGGAAGGTGTACGACCCATTCTTAGGAAATCGTGAGCTTCAAATCACTGCATTATGACACTTCCATAGGAGAGACGTAATTGTTGGTAGATATTTGACTTGATCTGTTAGGATTATAAACCCAAGTTATACTTATGAATAGACCATTTCCCACTCTATTTTATTTTCTTTATTTATTTTTATTTTATTTTTGTTATAAGTTTATTTATTTTTTTAAGAATTTTTTTTCTAATTTCTAAGTTTGGTAAAAAATCCAAAAAATTCTTATTATATCTTCAAAGATTAACGAAATACATCATAAATAAGTCATTTAAGAAAGTAATTATACACAATTCAAAGATTTTTTTTTTTCACGATTTTTTTTGTCAGTTTTACAACACCTTCCACCTCAAACGTTTGACAACTTTTTGATGAACACTTTTATAGCCCCTTCACCTCTTTTGATACATGCTGTTTTGTAAATAACATTATTTACGAGTTGGTATAATTGAAGCTAATAAAATAATATTGAACTTAATAAAAGAATCAGCAGAAATAAAATTCTGGAATAATATTGATAAAAGTTAATTAATAATATTACCTATATTTTTATGATGTGAAATTATGTTAAATGTATATAGTCTTATCATTATATTTTTAATAAAATGTTACTTACACTCTACGTAACTTTTAAACAAATATTCGCGCTCGTACTCGTCTTTTTAATAAATAATGCTCACTTTTCTTATAGTTTTAATAAAGTGATATTTACATTATTTATTTTATTTATAACTATTCTTAATTTATTATTTATAATTTTTTTTATGTTTTAAATTTTATAAAAATTATTTAAGTTTTAGTTAATACATAAGAGAAGTATTACTTCATTAAAAATGTAAAAAAAAAACGCGAGTATCATTTATTCAAAACATAAAAAAGTGAGTGTCTATCTAAAAGCTAAGTCAAGTTATTTATTGTAAAACTGTTTACCTTTATTTTAGTATTAATTATATTAATCTAAAAAACTGTTTACAATAAATTATTTCTAGTTGATGAAAATATTTTTAACATAATTGTTAATATTTAAATTATGTTTTATTTTATTTTATAAATATCGTCTAACTGATAAAATATTCAATGTGTAGTAGTAAAACATGGTATAATTCTGATTTGGCCTTAATTATTAAATGATCAGTAGCCATCTTTTAATATTGACTGTGGATCTCCCAATGAGTGCAAAGGGTTCTGCCATCATTAAAAGGAATTGTTGACATCATTTCTTTTATTCTCTTAAATAGTTATTAGTCAATAGTACGAAAAACTATAGTTTTGTGGAATTCAGTATTATTAAAATTAAACAAGGTGAAGAAAATGTTTACAAAGAAAAGAAACTGAATAAGGATCCAATCTGTAGGCGCTGGGCTTACCACATTAGGTTGGAAGATTACTCCCTCGCTCCTAATATTGGCACGGTCTGTAATATACATTAACATTATCCATGTATTAGTTTAATCTACAATTCAGAACCACAAAGAAATTATAGCAAGTATGTTCGATACAGAGATGCGAATATGAGTTCTATCTTCTGAGTAACTCGGCTCACCATTGTCTTCGATTTTTTTTTTATTTATGTAGATAATGAGTTATAAATGAATCTAACTCACTTAACTCACAAATTAAGTGGGTTTGAGCCAGGTTACTGTAGGTTGACCTATAATCCATAATTTATTTTAAATTTTAAAAATAATTAATAATAATTTAGTAATTTTAATTGATGTTTTTTTTTCCACCTCTATTTTATATTGTCACTACAAGTCAAACTCTTATTTTCATCAATCACTTTATAATGTTTATCGTGTTTTAGTTTCGCGTTTCATTTGTATTATAACTTTTGTTATGTCAATACCACAATGTTTTAGTCTCGTATTTCAATCGCGTCACAACATTTGTCACGCCACCACATTCGTCACACCAGTGCACCATGTTTAAGTTGTATCATGACTTTTGCCTAGGGATGGCAAAACAGGTCAGGCCCGGCGGGCCAGCCCGCAGCCCTCCATAATATGGCGGGACAGGTTAGTATTTTCAGCCCAACAACCCATTTTGGCCCGCCCTGCTAAGCCCGCTAACCCATCGGGCCAACCGCGAGATGGGACTGGCCACTGCGACCACTGCCTAATTAATAAAAAAATAATTTTTTATTGTAATAAAATTAATTATAAAGATAATATATGAAGTTAAAAATTTTAAAAAGAGAATTAAAAAAGTTTCACTCTCATATAAAATATTCTTTTTACTGAAATATTGTTTTCTCTCTCCTGTTTTCCTTGTTCATCCTAAGCACTATTATTTTTATCCTTATGACTTGAATTAAAGGGGTAAGAATTACTCAACCAAAAATAATGTAAAGTTTTATCAAATAAAAAGATATAGGTATTTGAATTTTTCAATATAAAAAATATAAATTTTATAAGTTTTAACGTTATTTATATATATATATATATATATTTGTTATTATTTATTATTATGTAAATTTTATTATTGTTCTAAATTATAATTTCTTAAAATAATGTATTGATTTATATTATTAAATTGAAATTATATATATATATATATTAAATTATTGACAAATAAATAATAATCTTATTATTAAATTTATTAAAATAAATTATTTTTTCTAAATTATAGTGGGTCAACCCGTCTCTTAGCGAAACGCTAAGATCTACAATCCGTCATAACTATAACGATCGATCGTCCCATCCTACTTTTAACGGACCAAAAGTGAAACGGGACGTGCTGACCCGTTTTGCCATCCCTACTTTTGCCACATTTAATTGTGTCACCGGGTTGTTACATTCAATATCGCTATTTAGTTGTATTTATTAGAAGAAAAAAAAAATGTAACTTAAAAGAGTGGATTAAAGTGGATTGTGAAATTTTTGGTTTATTACAAAGTAAGCTAGATTTAGCTAGCTAGTTTTAACTAAGCCCCTGTTTCAATCCATATTTCAATCGATGACCAAATCTTTTATCAAACAATTGAGAAAACCAAAAAGCACATATTTTAAATATCTACAGTTCAAAATTACTTTTAGAGGTAATGTGGGTAACTAACTCAGTTCAAGTGGGAGATGAGATTGGGAAAAAGACAATATATATTGTTCATTCCCCAATTTAAGTGTGATTGAAATTCAATATGGTTCTCAAGCAGAACCAAAAGAGAGATTAAACACAACATGTTACAATTAACAAGTAGAGAATCAGATATACATAGCAAGAGTTCAGGTGGCATGGGAAATGCCTTCCAGCAACAATTTTGTTTCCTGAATAAGTGTTCGCAGATTTTGCATCTCCTCCTCCAACTTCTCCAACATGCCTGAATAAGAAATGGAAGAAAGAAAACTGTTTTTGTTCTTGGCAGCTGTGACCCTAGCTGTCTGTAACTCTTCGGCTCTTATCAAATCCATCTGCAATTCTTCTCCTAGAATCTTCATTTCACCCTCCTTTAGGTCATAGTCAAACACATTTTGCTGGAGTTCAATAATCATATGCTCTATTTCAGACATACCATTATCTCTAAACTCGAAGAGCATCTCTTTCTCTTTTATCACACGTTCAAGTGCAAGTTCTTTCTCCTGTGTGTTCCTCAAGCATTGCTTTATTTCCTGTTGAACAGCCTCTATCTGGCTCTCTATATTTGCTCCCTTCTTGTTTAGATTTCCTAGTTCCTTTTTTATGACCCCGAGTTTCTCTTGAGAAAGCTTAATCTCTGCTTGCAATTTTGTTTTCTCTTCCTCCAACTTGAGTAAATCGGTGGCTTTACAACTAAATTGCAAATTTTTGAGCGAGCAATCTATATTCTGTCTGTTTTCAACGGCAAATAGAACCTTTTCACCTTCGTGCTTGCGATTCTCTTCCTCCAATTTCAATTTGATGCGTGTAATATTTTTCGTCAATTCAACTTCCGATTCTTGGTTCTTTTCTTTAGCATTCTCCAGTCCCTGTTTGGAAGCTTGAAGATCAGACAGTTTCCGTTTCTTTTGGTCAAGATGAGATGTCAAGTCCTTCACAACTGCTCTGGCCCGTGTTTCCCGTTGCACAAAGTAAGAAAATGTCGAGGTAAAGTTTGATAATGAATATTTGAGCGCAGAAAACTTTTTATCAACAATTCTTTTTCTTTCATGGGCTTCAGAGAGCATAAGCTTCAAAGATTCGAGCTGCTGACGCTTGATGTGAATATCATGCTCTGTAACCTCAATTTCTCTCGAGAGCTCATCAACTTGGACCGTTGCTTTTTCAGCACAACCAAGTGAAGCTATAGCCTTGACCGCATCTGATATATGTTCATCAACTCTTTCGAGATTCTTTGTAGCACAACTTAATTCCTCTGATAACTTTGCTTCACTAAGATCTGATACCTCATATTTCTTCTCAGAGTTGATCAGTACATCAGCCTCGCTGTCACCCTTCAAAAGCTTTTCTTGTTCATGTGCATCACACTCAACGTCCATATCAGATCCAGACGAAGTGGGTTCATATTTATTTTCACTTCCATCCCGCACCTCCTGCGAAATATCTACTCTCGAGTCTCTTTCCCCACCATCAACTTCAACAAGCTTTTCTGGGCAGTCCACGTCTCTCTTAGTTTCAACTCTTTCATGTCCAATACATGAAAGAGTTCTTTTTAGATCATCCCTTTCCTGCATGGCTCTTTCATACAAATTCATCAGCTTTTCATTTTCTTCATTCATTTCCATTAACTGGTGCTGGAGATTCTCAACCACGCCGTTCAACTCAGTCTCTTTTGTTATTTCAAGAGAAAAGCTACCATTGTCAATCTGGGAAGCAATTTCTTGAGTATCCTCCCCTTTATGAACATTTCTATTAATATTCTCAGCAGCAGCTTGCTCATACAATTCAATCAGTTTACTATTATCCTCAATCAAGGTTTTAAGCTTCATCTTTAGTTCATCATTCTCCTTTGCCAACATAATTGCTGTCTCATGAGCCTCTGCTTCTCTTTGACTAGCAGCAGCTATTGCATCAACCATTGCCTTCAATTCCAGTTGGTCATTGCTACTAATGACAGGTATATCGGTTGTTGATTGAAGGTCCATTTGCTGCTTTCCTTCATTAACTGTTCGGGATTTCTCTTGTTCTAATTTTTCCGTCAAATCATCGACATGACTGCAAGATAAAATTTAAAAAGAAAATTTTAAGCACTGTTTTGTTCATGATGAACAACAAAGAGAAACACATCTATGCAAAAACAATTAGAATAAAGAAATATGACGAGAATGCCTTTCAGGTAACAAATAATGTTCAGAAATGCACAAACCTCTATAATTATATATGACAAAATTAGAGACTAAACTAACACCTTTTTAGTTTTTCTTTCTCTTCAAGGCAAGCCTCTAGCTTTTTGCAAATTGTATCCGCTTCTGCCTGGTTTTGTATAGCCTGTCGTAGATAAAATCATATCAAGTCAGGAGAGAATGTGAAAGAAATATGCATTATTAAGTTCAATTAAATTAAGTTGAATATCAAGCAATATTGTACTTGACCTGAATCCGAAGAAACTCATTTTCCTCCCTAAGGGAAGACTGCCAACGCGATTTCGGACTTGACTCCTAAAGACAAACATAAAAAAGAATTAAACACTAATAACTTATGCACATAATTTAAAAGGCAAACACAAAAAACTAAAAGTGCCGTAAGTAAACAGAGAACGACATGTTATCTCTTTACATATCAAATATGTTAATAATTACGAGGTCATCATATGGCAATGATGGATCAAGTATATGGATGTTTGAGACTCAAATAATCAAACAGGATTTGTCAATGGAAAAAAAAAAATTCTAGATTTTTCGTGGGGTCCGAGATTGACCTTCATCCTCATCATTTCAAATAGAATGGTTCAAAATATTGTAAATAAAGAACGCGATGAAAGAAACGAAGAATGTTAAGTAAAATCCTCGTTCCATATTGTCTACCACTGCCTACTACCTGTTAAGCACCAGCATTATCCTTATCAGATTTAAAACACAATAATTGTGACAGACTTCTCCATTTTAAAAAGATTCAAGATATAACCACCTATATTTACTAAAAAGTTTAATTCACCAACTTTTAAATTATGTTGAATTCAAAAACTTGGTTAAAGAGTCTTAAAATATAAAATCTATACAGCAGGTCATTGAAAATTGCCTGCTAATATGAAACCCTGATAAATGGGCACAATAAAAATTAGGTTATAGTTTACATTTATGTTGATGTAGTCTATTGTGGCATTCACTGCTTCATCATGAATACAAATGGAAGAAATTCTATATCATTCTTACCAGTTTGGAGATGAGATTACCATCATTATGGACATCTTCCATCATCGGATCAGAATTTGCTTTCTAACATTCGCAAAATACAAGGAGGTCAGGTCTAAGGCAGGAGTTGGAATGATATCTATTCTAGACACAAGAAAAAATTATTACAATAACAGTTAAAACCTGAACCATTACCAAATCGGATTCATGCATGAATTTCCAATCTAGTGCTTCCAACAACTGCACATACAAGTGGAAAAAAATAACACAATCAAAATGAAAGGAGTTTGACTGAAGATTTTATGAAGTACAAAGGAGTCCCTTCATACCTTGTTTTCCAATACCATGATTTGTTCACTCATCTGTTCTCGTTCTCCTTCCATACAAAATGACTTCAACCTGTCTTGAGGATACATAAGCATTAGTAAGATGAAAAACGTGTAAATCACCAAAAGGTCACTAGTAGTATAGCTAGCACTAATTTGTTGGTGAACTCAGACTGGTTTCTCTTAGTCTAGACAATATCATAAGGTAACTTCTTGCTTCAACTGAGTTGCATAACTTATAATTGTTATTATAACGGGACAAGTATAGAGACTAGTTATATTGTTCATACTAGAACATTGATTTTTGGTTAAAAGGTAAATATGTCACTTCCCAACTTTTATTTTAATGATGAAATAAAGTAAAAGGACTTTTGCTGTATCAATAAGACATGCCTTCTAATTTCTTCTTTTAGCTGCAAATTTTCCATAGCAAACCTAGTTACTTCATTATTCCGGTCAACCTGCGCTCGCAAGACCTCAATTTCCTTCAAATTCTCCTCTTTTTCTTTCAACAAGTGTGTCTCAGCTGAGATCTTCTCAGAAGTAACTGCTTCCAACCTTTTTATTCCAGCTTCTCGAAAACGTAATCTCATCTTCAAGCTTTGTATCTCATCTTCTCTTTGTTTCACCTGAATCATCCCATATTTCAACCATTTAATTCATCACAAAAACATCAACTATTAATTAATCAACAAAAGAGAATGACGAAAACTTAAAAGATTAAAAATGAGAAAACCCTAATCAACAATTCTAGAATGGAGCTCTATGACAACCCGACAAAATTGATAGGCATTTCTCACATAAAATTCCCTCATTAACCAATCATTCAAAAACTGATAACAAACTCTTATAATAACTTGTATTTGAATTTTACTCAGCCCCACAAATTGGTCTGGGAAGTGAGGATTGCCCATTTGTGCTCTATTTAAGTCATATATTTTATCAATGTGAGACTAAACACCTTTAAAACGTAATTAAGGCAGATCCAAAGAGAACACAAGCTAAGGCAGGCTACAGGTGACTACAATTAAGACGGATTTTCAACAATGCCCCTTCATGCCTATTAATACTGGTTGGAAAATGCAAGTGACCCAACAATGGATCTGGAAACTTTTATACCATCTAAGAATATATTTAAGTGTAATTCAAACCCGCAAAGTCTTTTTGTAAGGTGAAGTTCTATGTAAGCCATATTTCTAGCTTATACGAGATATAATCACCGCCGTTGAGGCTACAATTAAGGCAGTCATCAAAAGAGGCAGCATCTACGACGAGCTAGAGGGGACCACAACTAAAGCAACTCTTTTCAAGACATATATCAATAAGAAATATACTGCTTTTCGAAGATACCAGCTTCATGGACGCTTGAATTTCATCTCTTAATGCTTGTAATTTCATCTCTTTGTCTTTTTCCCTTCTAAAGGCGCCAACAAGGGCAATGTCATAGTCTTTTTTCTGAAAAACGAAGAAGATGCTTCTCAGTAAACAAAGGTATGAGAGACTGAGTGATTCCTTAGGCACACAAAAATATCAACCTGGGATATCCTTTTAACAGATGTTGTTAACGGACTGAATGATCCTGGCACACCCTCCCACTTGAAGGATCCAGGAGAACCTGGAAAGCTGATTACTGAATTGTCATTATCTTGAATTTCTCCTCCAGCAACTAGACCACGCAAACGGGATACTTCTTTCTGGAAGCCCAAAAATGATTGCAGTATAAACCGGTTAATTTAGCAAGGAAGAAATACAAATTGTTGGAAGCTTCTCCACTTCCCTTCAAATAGTAGATGGAAAGTAAAAGTAAAATATTGGTCATTGTTGTACTTTTCTGATAAGCAATTAAGTAATTAAGAAATTATATTACATATAAAAGTTCTAATTAAATCAATCAATCTTCTTATTAATTGATGATGGCATGAAATGTAAGTTGATGTGACTGTTTCATTAGCCTTCGAAGTCCCGATGAAAAATGAGAGCAAACTCTTGCTCAGTCATACTTCTCCATAGGCAATGCAATAAGCAAAATGACCGCCAAACATTTTCTAAGTTCAGGACACAAGAGAAGCAAGGATAAATCAAAATTAAAATACCTTAAGTTGCTGAATTTGAATTCTCATGGCAATGACATCTCCAGACGCATCCTCATTTACAATTGCCTGGATAAAATTACATAATTATTTATATAGAAATTATTAGAAATGTCTGCACAGACCACCTACATATCTAAACAGTTCAGGCTTGGCAAAACTAGCTAGAAGCTGAAAGTTGGTAGCCGGTAGCTGAAAGCCTACGAAACACCTATATTTCAATTTGCTTCATGTATTTATGTCCGATACATATTCGATATCTATACTCTAGGATAGTTCAATAACCGGGCGCTGAAAGCCTATGAAACATATAAGTATCCAAACCTGGGAAGTACCAAGTTTTTAAAGCATTTATATCCAATAAAGCTACAAAACAAGAATGTGTAATATAGAAACATATAAACAGCATTTCTTCATCATAAAAATAATGAGCTTGATAGTGTTATACCTATATCTAAATTATAGAAAGTAATTTATAATGACAATGATTAATAATTTTTTATTTTGGCAATGTTTAAGAAATGTGATTTAAATTTAGATTTGCACAATTCAGTTATATATTTATTATGGTTTCTGAATTTGTATTCATTTTTATAATAATAGTGTTGGATACACATCATATACGTGGATCATAGCTAAAAGTTGTCAAACAGCTTATTAAATTATCAAATAAAGTAGCTTGTAAATGTATATGAAAAAATAATACATGTTTATACAATATTTTTACACAAATATAATTTTTTTTAAGATAAAATATATTGAGGAATATCTAATTTTAATTACTAAATAATTTTAAACATTTATAATCTTTACTTATATATGAAATATTTTAATTATATTTATATTACTTTCAACTGTTATATATTCTTTTCATATTTCATATTTTTTATTAATCTTATACTATATCTTACAACATTTTCATTCAAATTTTAAATTTAAAATAAAGTAAAACTAATGTATTTTCAATTAGACATAAGACAAAATGAAATACAATTATTTAAAAACATTAATAAAAATAAAACGAATTTATCATATATTAATATTTATGTAGTGAAATATAATCCTCAAATAGAAAAATAAATATTTTAAATAATATAATAGTTAAAATGAATTATACAATATGAAAGCATCTAAATATTAATAATTAAAAAAAAAACTTATTTTTCTAAGATTGTCAATATTTTATTCATAAAATATTAAAGATAAGAAATTTTTACCTCATGCAAAAAAGTAAAAAAATAAATTCCTATGAGTCGAGGAAGAAAAAAATATAATAAAACCATGCCTTATATAGACAAAAGACTAAGAATGAGACTTAATAAATATTTGAAGGATAAAATATGAATAAATAAAAAAGCTAGAAGCTAGCATTTAAATAACGTTATTTCAAGTAGCGTCAATATCGCTACTGTTAGGATCGAGCGCTTACCACTAGGCCAAAAGCTATAGCTATTAGTCAGAGCGCAACTCTTTTTACTTAAGAGTAATAGCCCAAGCGCCACGATTCGATTGTGACTCGGCCCACCCGGCCTCCGCCACAGAACAATTGATGCTACCTGCAACAATCTCCCCCTCAGCAATTGTCCTACGAGGAATCCCACTTGGATTGTGACTTGGCTCATCTAGCCTACGCCACCAATTGTGACTTGGCCCACCTAGCCTGCGCCACGGGACAATTGTGCAACCCGCAACAATCTCCCCCTTAACAATTGCCCACCAGGAATCGAACTCGTGACCTTGGCTCTGATACCAACTGTTAGGATCGAGCGCTTACCACTAGGCCAAAAGCTATAGCTATTAGTCAGAGCGCAACTCTTTTTACTTAAGAGTAATAGCCCAAGCGCCACGATTCGATTGTGACTCGGCCCACCCGGCCTCCGCCACAGGACAATTGATGCTACCTGCAACAGCTACAACCTACTAAAAAAATTTGTTTACCAAATACTAATAATAGGATCACACAAGTTTTTTAGCCAGTAAAAGAGCGAGAAAAACTAGCTGAAATGGCATGTCAAACACAGCCTTCATAAGCTCCAATGAGTAATATTGATATGTTAAGATTGCTCTACCAAAGCTTCTAGCTTTCTTAAGAATTTGAAGTACTATTCATTAAGCTTTAAAATTAAAAACATAAAATAAACCAATGTATATTACTGCTTTGTGATAATAGAATGTCAATCACTTCTTTTACGTAGAAATTAGATGCACATCAGTATATAAGCACAAAAGGTATGGAAAGACATACATTGTTCTTAATAAATTTGGCACGTTGTGCGAACTTCAATGTGCTTAATGTCTCGAGTGAACAACTGCAAAAATTACCAAATGTCACTCAAATATTAATAACCATATACGGTAAAAAATAAAAAATCGCAAAATTCGTCAAACAACAGTCAATCCATTCATGACAATCGGAGTTAATATACGTTGTAACTTTCAAAAAAACATTCCAACTTTCTATTTCACGTTTTCCGTAAATGTCTCATGCAAAAGCAACCAAGTCCTCATATGCAAATATATTTAGTACAACCATAGGAGGTTCACTGACCAAATAGAGGGGCTTATATTTGCAATTATGATTGTTTTTGAATTCCCTCCAAGAGAATCCTGAAAAAAAAAAAAAAATAGAACACTGATCAGATTTAAATGATAATTGTCTTAATTTGTAAAGAATTCAGACAAAATAACAAAAATTTTCCCTAACATTCATTAATATAACTATTAACTTTCCAGTTAAACACTTGCTAGATGATTCAAATACTACCAGGCCAGAATATCGCACATCAAAACATTTTAAGCGACAGACTAATCAATATAATTGCAACGATTATAAATTGTACGTTGAAAATACCCTAAAGATCTGTATTGCAGGTGCTTATACACTGTAATGTTTCAAGTGCAGTTTCCAGTTCCACAATCGATGTCTAGGTAGGAAATTAACTACCAAGCATTAAGCTTCTTGGTTATGTATATTTGAAACTAGAGCCCCTTTATTGATAATAAATATGGTTCTCTAATGTAACTTTATTGCCAAAGAAACTTGTTTGTTTCTATTGCAAATATGCCTATTAAATAATAATTAGGTGTGACAATTATTTCATAAACAAAGTTATTAGTTTCTAGTTACTGCATACTTACAAATTAGATAACAACTTTTGTAGTTCTAAACCAATTCACATACCCCAAAACTATATCTTTTTATAAGACCCAGATCAGCTGTCACAAATGTCCAGACACTGAAATCTGGTTTACGTAAGCAACATGAATTTAGAAAATATTTGCACCAACCTGAAGTAAAAATGTTAGCTTTGAATCACGGTATGGCACATGGAGCGACTTCCCATTAGATATGCTTACTAGATTCATAATCACAAGCCTGCAAGTATATTATCACCTATAATGTTATATTTTTAGGATAATACCACAACTAAAATAACTAGTAGGAACGATTGAATATTAATGTAATAGATAATGAGGATAACCAACCCCAAGGTTGAAAGAGATTTGTTGATATTAGTAGCTTCCTTAAGGCGTTCGCCTTCAGCACCAGAACTCTTCTGCCTATCATCAAAATGGATACATAATATCATCTATATGAATGTTAAATGAGGTAAAATTCTTGTTGCTTCTTTACTCATCTAAATCATGAAAACAAAAATACACACTATTAGAAATCAATTACCTCTCAGATCCAGCCAAATCAACTAAATTGAGTCGAGCATACCGAAAGTGAGTCACTCCTTGAGATTCCCACTAAAAAAATAGTTAAATTATATTGTATCATGATATACATGGAAAAATAGTTAAAGTTCAATATTTTTTCCACAAAAACAGGAGAGAAAACACCAGTATTGACTCACCTGACTCTCAATGATGCAAGTAAATACACTATGGGAACGGCTGCTTGCCCGATTCATGTTAGTGGCAGCTACCTTTCTGTTCGCAGCTCCCTAAATTACATTTGTTATTTTCAATCAGTGCGACTTGACTTATCAGTTGTGCAGAAAAAAAAAAATAAGGTTATGAAAATAACTTCATATAGGTTACTTTTTCCCTCAATCACAAACTATAAATAAATCTCTTTGATAAATTTATTTAAAACAATACAATGACGTAAAAAAAATTAAAATAAATAAAGAAATCGTACCTGAATAAGTAGTTGAATAACTTCTCGAGCATAAGTTACTTCTATTTCCTTAAGATTTTCTACATAAACTCCTTTCTTACTGTCTTCTCTTATCTGTCACACAGATGGATGATTTAAAATGGTTTTTATGAACACACAGAAATAGAAGCTCATACAATATTTGCCTATTATTTCTCAGCTTTAGAGGAATAATCCCCATTGAAATCAGTTTTAATGTTTAGAGCTTTTGGTAACAGGGAAAATAAGAAAAGATGTCCAACGAAAAGGACATGGTTTTACACTTGACGAATTCCTAAAATATTCAATTAATGAATAATTAGCCTAACCTGCAAATTGTTAGATGATGGGTCCAAAAGATCAAGGATCTGTTCATTGTATATCTCCAAGAAAGAACATTTGCATTTAAATTTTAACTTTTCATCTCTCCGAGCCTCTTTTTCCTGGCATATTACAACAATAACAGATTACAGCCAAAAATTATAATTTTTCAAATATAAATAAATATACATGAATAATTATGCTTCAGTATAAATTTATCTTAAGCTATCATTGTCCGATTTATAAAGAACTTAACGAGTCCAATTTAAAATTTAAAATATAACTTAAGTATTATTCAACCAGCTTGATAAACATTGATAATTTTAAAATATGACATTTGGAATCCAGAGGAACAACACTTAAAGGAAGACTGATTTAAAATAATCAGTGATATAATGAAATATGTAAAATTGCTTCATAACAATATAAGATACTAGAGTCAACAAATGATGTTAAGAGAATGGAAGTAGATGAATATGGGCTTCGATATTTTAATTAGAAAGTGCAAATCACATGATATTCGTCTGATGTGCAAGCAATGCATTAATCTAAGGATACATTCCTTAAATAATTATTGAGTGTCCAGTTTAACAACAAATTATACCTTTTGAATCCTAGAAAATAAGTGCTCAAAAATTCTTGGTGTCATCCCGCAGTTGACACTGTGTCTTCTAGTTCCCCCTTCAATGTCACCAAGCATGGTGTGTGTCTTCCCACTTCCAGTCTGAGCAAAACCAATTACTTTTAGTGACCGCACGTGTATTTCATTCTCATAATCCAAATAAGAAGAAAAAGTCCAGATAAAACATACAACTTCTTTTACAAAAGCCTTTGTTTCAAGTTCAAATTAAGATATAATTCCGGGTAACATGACTTACAGAAATGTTAATTGAACAACTATTCCTATGCATGTCTAAAATTACTTTTGGTTCATTTTTCGTATTCCTGACAATACTTTTTAAATTATAAATTAATTAAAATAAAAGAATAAAAGAAAGGAGGTTACAATATAAGTTCTCTCATTTCCATGGGAAAATAACTTACCCAACCCTTAGCAAGGGAATAAAAGATGTATAGATAAGGAGACGTAATTTCATGGTAATAAAACATACCTAGATATTTTTTATAACCTTCTAACAAACAATGTGACACAAAAGCCTCCTTACAATCATTACTATGCTGGAATAGACTCAAATAGCAGGGAGGGCGCTTTCTCTCATAAACTATATTAGCCTAATCAAACTAACTGAACAACAAATCAACAAAAACAAGTGCAGATCAATACTCACCTGACCATAAGCAAACATGCAGCTGTTGTAGCCTCCCATGCAATTTTCTACCATTGGCAAACCAGCTACTTTGAAGAGTTTCTCCTGTCATATTAGTCATGTGAAGTGTGAAACCCAAGCTTCAAAGTTCAAAAAATTTTAAAAACAAACAGCAAATTTTGTAAAATATTTCCAGTGAAACGTATTGATAGAAACCACGATACGAAAGAAATTACCCAACAAAGTTTACCTGGCTAACGTTCTCATCAGCGACGGCATCAAAAGTAAACCGCGACTCAGGATGTCCAGTCCATGTAATTGTTTGACAACTCTCTTGCCTAACACACTTTCCCTGCCCTTGAACCGATATTTCAGAGTTGCTGAGAGGACGCATTCTAATTATAACCTAGCTCACAAAAGTAAATCATGTCAAACACAATTCCCTTAAATCAAACTATGAAATAATCAGAGAAACCTAAACCTAATTAATAAACAATTTTCAAATATTCATAATTACATTTTCTCGCCCAAACAATTTTAATTATACAATTTCATTACTTAAAGAAAAGAAAAAAAAAATATAGCCATGAGGCTTGTTATTAACAAACAATTACTTATGATTAGCATTGCTCTTTAATCCCTAGGAAGCTTCGGATTAGACCTACTGAACCTGCATAGAGCAATGTAATGTTGTTGTACCTGCACATTGTGATCTTTCCAGAAGGAAGGATCCTCACAGAATTCAAAGCTCTGAGACGAGCAGACGGCGGCGCTACTCGGTCCAACTACATTCTCGTCATCCCAATCGCTTAGGTTTCGAACTATGGAGCTTTGCGCGAGGTCCTTGACGGCAGATTTCAGAAGATCCGGAGTGCTCTGAACCAGCGGAAGTGATTCGGAGGAGTGGTCCTGGAAACCGAACCTGCTCTTAATCGCGCTGGCAGTCTCAGATAAGAACGGCATCGCAGTGATCGGCGTCGATGTAGAATTTGGGGGAATTGAGGGAGAAGTCTTTGCGAAAAGAAGACAGAGAGAAAGAGAATGATGTTGAAGAACGAGAAATTGGAGAAAAAGGGTGGATATCGATTTAGTGAAAACTGAGTAGAGGCGGAAGAGAGAGAAAAAGATTTAGTGATCTAACGGTGGATATCGATTTAAATTCAAACTATGCGACCGTTTGGATCCATGTTTCAAATTTTGGAAGATGGAGCCAAGAGACCCTCTTTCTTTCTATTATTTTATTTCTTTGGATCAGCATGTTGAAAGGGTATTTTGGAGAATGAGCCGCAGTAACCTTATTTTCGTGTCAAACAAATATCATTTTTAGCCCACATAAAGCTAAGTTAATGTAGTAACATTATTTATTGTTTTCATAATTTTTTTAACATTTTTATTATCGTGATAAAATAAACATAAATATTGATAAAATATTTATCACTTAATGTATTAAGTAATATTTATATAAGGTATATATTTAAAATAGTTTTATAATAATAATTTATTTTCTTTTTATTTTTCATTTTATTAAAGGATAATTTTAATTTCTTTAAAATCATAGGATCTATCACTTTACTTATATAGTGTAAGTACAATTAATTTAATGGTGTTAGTTATGCATGTTAAAATTTTAATATATAGTTTTAGAAATAAATTTAATAAAAGTGACAGGTTTTTTTATTTAAAAAAATAATAATGGTTAGAGTTATTTATGATGGTTTAATGACATTTTTATTGAAACTACACATAAAAAATCAATGAAAATTAAAAAAATATATATATAATATAATATTTTAATGCAAATTATATACTGAAAATGTTAAAATGAGCTCAAAATTTTATATTAAAATAATATATTTTATTTTTAAAAAACCTTTTTAAACAAGTTTCAGCCAGATATCTAAAATGAATAAATATTTTGACTATGAAACTAATTTTCTTTACGTGTATTTTTAAATTGTTTTATAATTTGTTGAAATAAGGAAAACTAAACTTATAATAAATAGGTTGAAACTTCAAATGAAATATCTAACAGATGGAAACTGTTGACAGAGACATTGCAGTCAGTTTTATCAATTTTAATAAATTAAAATTATTTTATAAAATAAAGTTAATGAAATATTAAATAATATTTAATATATTTTCTTAATTTCTCTCATATATTACTTGGAATTTACTACCAAGACATATATAATCGAATATTCAAATGATACATTTTTTTTACTCTATCTTTTATTTATATTTTATGATATTTCTAATATATTTGAGACTAAATTCATTTTTTTAATATATGTAAATAATATCATTGTATTTTGAATTCAATTTTTTTTATTATTATTATTTAGAGTGTGTTGTAAACATTAAAACATTTGTTCAAAAGAATAGATATATTTTTTGAAAATAATTTAAAAGAAAATTTTGAAAAAATTAAATGAATTATTAGTATATTTTATGTAAAAGTCGATTATGATTAAACTTTTTTAAATATAAATATTATTTAATTTTATATTTAAAAAATTCTATCAATAAGTTTAAGAATAATTGCAAATCTAAATTATAAGAATCAATCTAATTTTGTTGAAATAATAATTCAATTATGTATAAATATGTACCGTTCGTTAATTATTACTAATTACAAAATAATAATGGATTCTCTTTAATAAAATAACTAATATATTTTTTTGTATTTATTTTTCTTTAATACTCAGTTCCTAATATGGACGTGATTTTGAGTGTATTAAGGAGACGAGGTAGTGGCATGAGGGCGCACCCAAATATTTATTTCTCTTTCAAAATTATATATGGACAAGTGTTATTCTTTATAAAATTGTCTAGCAGTACACTCAATTTTTATCTTTATATTTATATTTGTATCTTAAGCTTGTCTTTGGATTCGGTGGAAATTTGAGAGAGATGATTTAAATATATTTATGGAATTGTTTGAATTGAGAAAAAAAATTGATTAAATATAAGATAATTAAATAATAATATTTTTAATGTAATGATAAATTATTTTTGAACGGTGGAATGAATATTCATGTAGAAGAGAAAAGATAACAATTTATACATTTGATACTTAATCACACACTTTTTATCATTTTAGAGTATATTTGTGAGAGTGTAAAACCCACATTTTCACCATCCTAAATTTACTAAATACATAAAAGCAAACTAACAAATATTTCCACAAATTTCTTCCTTCAATCCTCTCCTATAAATCGGAAATAAGTTAAAGCAAATAAATATCTAACCAAGATTTTTTATCCAAACATCAGAAGAAAAAAAGAGTTGACTAGAAATTAAGACCATTAACAGGTTTCTTATATCACTACAAAGTCATTCATAATAAGAATTAGTGTACTCAAATATTTGTGATCCTTTTAATAAACTCATTGGTGGTAATATATATTTTATAGCATTCATATTTTTATAAGAAAGATTTGGATTTACCTAATTAATGAGACCAATTATGTGTTTACAACTTTTGTTTTCTTCAAAATACAAATAAAGAGTCAAAGTGAATAAAACTAAAATTACTAACGACTGACAAGGGTGAGACTTTTTTTCACAAATAACACTATTTTTTAAAATATTTCTCAAAATAACACATATGAATATTATTTACACAACTAGCACTCTTTACCGTTCACGTATTAAAATAATCGATTATTTTATATTATGATCAATCATTTCTTCGCTTGAGCGAGGAAATTTGTAACGAAGGGGTAATCTCCGGTCAATTCTCGCTCAAGCGACGGGTATTTTCGCTTGAGCGAAAAGTGATTAAAATATGTGGTGACCCAAGTTGCGTTATGTGGCTAACTGCTTTGGACATTTAGCCTAGGTCAATTCTTGCTCAAGCGATGAGTTACTTCGCTTGAGCGAGAATTAATTGGGTAACTGCGTTGGACCGTGGTCAATTCTCGCTCAAGCGAGACATCCATCGCTTGAGCGAAGAAATTTTTAATCGATTATAATTTGAACTAATCGATCATAATTTTAAAATAATAGCGGTTCCACATGCTCTATAATAGCGGTTAAAAATATACTTTTAATAGCGGTTATTTCTAGAACCGCTAATTAAAATATACTTTTAATAGCGGTTAGTTATAAAACCACTATCTAAAATATACTTTTGATAGCGGTTAGTTATAGAACCGCTATCTAAAATATACTTTTAATAGCGGTTAGTTCTAGAACCGCTATCAAAATCTCGGGTCAATTCTCGCTCAAGCGAGAAACCCATTGCTTGAGCGAGGAAACCTACAACTTTTTACAATGCTGAGTCACCCACCCAAGTCAGGATTCCCATGTCTTTCTGATGCACACAAGTAAAGAATTCAATGTTGAGTTCCTTAAAACAGTTTTAATCGATTAAAATAGTTAGCAAAAATTTTCTTAAATAACTTTTGACTTCATCAAACCCACAAGATGTTTGTTTTATCAAATGATTCAATAAGATATTCATCACTTTCAATTAATTGAAAAACTCCTAAGTTTCATACATTGAGACATTTCTTAACTAACATAATCTAATGATGCGAAGTAGATGCACGTGCAACATTGGGACATGTTCTTCTGCTATGACCAGGGGTATGACAATATGAACATTTTGTAATCCTACTTTGATTTTTTGTAATGTCCATCTCAGTTCTTATACGACTTGATTTTGGTCGGCCCTTTGAAGTTCTTTTCATTTCTGGATTTGCACACAAAGTAGGTCCTGTGTATGTTGGCCAATATTCTTCATTTCGCAATAATCCAAATTGTGTTTCGTATACCTTTGAAACTTGTTGTAAGGTATACACTAAATTAATATAGTTGTTGAAGTCATGGTGTGCATGCTTGCATGCAGCAAGAACATGTGAACAAGGCATGTGAAATTTTTGGAATTTCCCACAGTCACACCATAACTCATCAAGGTGAACTGCAAACTTCCCTGCTGGTCGAACTTCACATGGGTTTTGTGTTTCTTCTACTACAAATTTTGTGGTAGACCTGTCAAAAGTTATGACCCTATGCGTGTTTGCCTGTGTTTGTACTTCTTCTAAATTTGTGACCAAAATTTCAGAGTATACATGACCAACATTGATCATGACATCTATTTGCCTCCATCTTTCAATGAAAAATTTGTTGCAACGGGTGTACGTTGCGTTGACCATGGAGCAAATAGGTAGATTTCTTGTTTTTATCAAAACAGAGTTGATAGACTCTGCTATGTTGGTCGTTATGTGGCCCCAACGCCGTCCATTGTCCCATGCAAGTGCCCATTTTTCTCTAGGTATCTCATCCAACCAATTAGTTGTTATTATGTCACATTGCCTCAAGTTGTTGTAATAATAGTAGAATCGTGGTTCAGTCATCCCATACGCTACAACAATATTAAAAAAACATAGTTAATATAAATATTTATTAGTAACAATTAAATAATGAATAAATTGTAACAAATTTAAAGTAAAGAAATTATCCATATTTATAGAATTTATAAATAGTTCCGTGAATATCAAATAACTCATTTACTTGGTGTTATAAGGTTATTAGGTATCTATTAACAAATTTAACAATTCTAATTCCTGATTGATGTAAAAAGCTAAGAAAAGTAACACAAATTACATTCATATTTAAATATACTCCAAATTATTGAGGTTCAATAAAGTAATATATTATAACTTTGTTTTCACAACAAATTATGCATATAACTATGTTTGTTTTGGCTTTATCCGTTAAAAAATATTTTTTCTAATATTTTGTTTTTATAATTTAATAAAATAATTTATCTTATACTTTTCTTTCTGAATCACAATTTTTTAAAATATAAATTAAATAATTAAAATAATAATGTAATTCTCAATTTCTGTAATTTATTTATATTTTAAATTAATATATAAAATTTATTTTATTAAAAATATATGATAAAGAATTAAAATACACGTACAAATAACGCTTTCGAATATATATATATATATATATATATATATATATATATATATTTCTTTTTTTAAATTATTGTATTGATTACTAGTTTTAAATTATTGTTTTAGTAAAAAAATTAATTAACAATAATATAACACTTTTTTTAAAATATAATATGATTTGTTTTGACAAATCAAAATAAAGTTGGAAGTTAGATAAAATAGTAATTCACATTATATATTATATTATATTATATTGTATTTTCGTTCAAATTAATATTTGTATTGAATAGAAAAAAAAAGTCAGACTGAATATAATAAAATTTTATGTCATACAATTATAATTAATCTTCAAAAGAAAGACATTTTGGGCAACACAAAATATTTGTTTCTCTTCCAGAACTCAAACCAGTATATATTTCAATCTAACTTATTAATATATCAATATTTATTTTCTTTGATGTAAAAAATGATTTCGCTAAATTTATGTCTTTAAATAACAAAATTTGTTATTGAACATTTTATATATTTTATTTCTTAGTACTATCTTACATATTTTAAGCTTTTAAAATTAAAAACATAGAATAAACCAATGTATATTACTACTTTGTGATAATTGAATGCCAATGAGTTATTTTCCGTAGAAAATACATGCAAATGTATATAAACACAAAAAGTATGAAAAGTATTGCAGGTGCTTCTATACTATGATGTTTCAAGTGCAGTTTCCAGTTCACAATCAATGTCTAGGTATGAAACTAGAACCCCTTTATTGATAATAAACAAGGTTCTATAATGTAATTTTATTGCCAAAGAAACTTGCTTGTTTCTATTGCAAATATGCCTATTAAATAGTAATTAGGTGCCACAATTATTTCATGAACAAAGTTATTATAGATAACAACTTTTATAGTTTTAAAACTGTAGTTTTAGGGATTCTGACATATTCTCTCAATGATATTAAAATATATTTCATTAAATATATTATTTAATTTTATTAAAATTTTGTTAATAGAAACTAACACAGTGATTTCAAATTCGATTTAAATAAAATATTTTTGTTATTATAAAATATTTATTTGTTAAACTATTTTTTACAAAAAAGTTTATTAGTTTTATCTTATAAATCTAAATAAAATATTTTTTTTAATTGTATGAGAATAGAAAATGATAAATGTGATAATAAGATAATGAATGTAGGGTGTGTCTATCTCCATATTAACAATAATAATATTAAAATCTCGTAAATTTGTAATGAGAAATTATAGACATAATTATAAATTATCTAAATATTAAATTAAATTTTTGTTACATTTTTATTTTTTAAAGTAATATAACACATATATTAATATTGTTAAAAAATTGAAAAAAAATTAAATTTTATAAAAATTAAATTAATATGAAAATATTTTAATAAATAAGATATTCTATAAATAACAACAAAATATATTTTATCTTCTTGTTTTCTCAACTATATTTTCCTTTCTTCCCCTTACTCTTGTGCCGCCGTTACATTCCATTCCATCCCTAGAGGTGAACCTACTCATCCTCTCTGTCTCTCACGCGCCGCTTGCAAGCTTACTTTTGCCCTCACAGACTCTTGTGCCGCCGTTCCATTTCATTCCATCCACCTCGGTCTCTCACCTTGGTTTCTCTCACGCCGTTCGCTTCTTTCTGCCGCTCATCCCTCTCTGTCACTCTCTCGCGTCGCTGCTCACTCACGCCTGGTATGCATCTTTCTGACCTGCTCATCCTCTAGGTCGGTCTCTCATGCCTGGTAGGCTTATTTCTGCCCTCAAGTTCAAGTTTTATCTTAAGAAAATTTTGTCAGTAGTTATATTTTGAAAAAAATTATTTCTCAATTCTATTGGATGATTCCACTCGTAACTTGGTTGGCAGAATCCAGTAGTCTTTACTTGATCCAGACACGTGATGTATATGCCATTCCGACGTGATCTATTAATCTGCTAATAAGTCGGCTAATAAGTTGTTTAATGGCACTTCACCTATCACTTTATTGTGAAACACTAGATTGATCCGTTCTGCCATAACTCCTATTCCACCCAGTGGGATTGATTCAGTTCAAAAATGGGTTTGTTCAATGATTGAAAAACTGCTTTTCCCTTAGGTAGAAATTGAGAAATTGAAAAAGCTAGTATCCTAATTAAATCATGAAGACCTGGTATGATAAATTTGTTTATCTTAGATACAACAACCTGTATGATTAGCTATATGATTTGATATCATATGAATAGGCCCGGCAAAACTCTTGTATAGCTTTTTCGATTTCTCGAAATATGTCCTACATTGGTTCGAATGTATTTGTTTTTTTACTTCTTACTACTAGATAATGCCTATAAATTTTATTATAGGTGCCTAAAGCTTCATAGTGAATTTCGATAGCTCTCTTGTTGTCACCGGAGGAACTAAGGACTATCGAAGGTTATTCTTGTGCTTTGCAAGCATATTTGAACGTTAGTTCCTGCACGTAAATTTATCAAAAACTGAACATAGTTTTCTGAGGTGGATTCATTCAATTTTGTTTTCTGAGGTGGATTCATTCAATTTTGTTTTCTGAGGTGGATTCATTCAATTTTGTTTTCTGAGGTGGATTCATTCAATTTTGTTTTCTGAAGTGGATTCATTCAATTTTGTTTTCTAAAGTGGATTCATTCAATTTTGTTTTCTGAAGTGGATTCATTCAATTTTGTTTTCTGAAGTGGATTCATTCAATTTTGTTTTCTGAAGTGGATTTGTTCTCCCGTTAATTATCTGTAAATTCAACTTTTAAAGATTTTAATAGAATGGGATAATGTTTGGGTGATATTTTAAAGTAATATCTGATATTCTATTTTGTTTTCTAAGGTGGATTCATTCAATTTTGTTACTGTATTGTTCTCCCTCTAATTATCTATAAATTCAATTTTTAAAGATTTTAATAGAATGGGATAATTTTGGGGTGATATTTCAAAGTAATATCTGATATTCGTTATGGATCTGGTCAGGGTTTTGCTTAATCTAGCCCTTTCTCTGTCTTAATAATGGGGAAAGCTAAAAAGGGGCCAAAGTTTGCTCTTATGAAAAAGATTGTCACTCCCAAAGCAATCAAAAGGTGAGGTTTTTCTCGTTTTTGAATGATCCTGTTTGATTTTTATTTTGTCACTTAAGGTGAATTGCTTAAGATTGTCACTTCCAAAGTCTTTATTTTCATTTCTTTATTTTCATCTTAAATTCAGTTACAAAGAAGAGGTTTTGAACCCAGAAAAGAAGAATCTTATGAAGGAAAAGTTACCCAGAAACATGTAAGCTTTGATTCTCACTATCTGCTCCTTTTGATTGGTCCTGAATTTATTGCTTTTCTCCTGGTTTTAATTTGTGAGTTGAATTTGCATTATTTAGTCCAAGTCATTCTTCGGCACTTTTCTTTCAATACAATACTGCGCTGGGACCTCCTTACCGGGTTTTGGTGGATACCAACTTCATCAATTTCTCAATACAGAATAAAGTGAGTGTGTTTTGTTTTGCTTTAATTTTATAGCTTTTTGTTTCTCTATTTCAAATAAACAAATGATAATTCTGGTTCTGCATACTAAACTTTCCATGGAATACTCAGTTCAAATTATGTTTGAGACTGTATGTAGATGTCATGCATTAATGCATGTGATGCTCATGGTGTGTCTGTTTCTCACACAATATGGCTTTCTTTATGTAGTTGGATCTGGAGAAAGGAATGATGGACTGCTTATATGCAAAATGTGAGTTTGAAGTAGATTATAACTTGCCTAAATTTATGCATTTCATTTTTAGTTTAGCTGAATCCCGAGGTTCCTATAAATTTTAGATATTATGTTGTGATAGTTTTGCCATGATTAAGAAGCTCATGTTTGTAACGTGACATTGTATATGTCAATTAAACATCCCATATTCTATTATTACCTTTGCTCTATTGGCATTTTGGATTTTCAGGCACTCCTTGTATCACAGACTGTGTGATGGCAGAACTTGAGAAGTTAGGCCAAAAATATCGCGTAGCTCTAAGGTAGATGTTATCTCTTAATTATTATAGATTTATATTCTCATACATTTGAGATGTACATATAAAAGGGGTAACCCAATGTATGGGTTGACTCCCCTTTGAGTGAGTTACCCATATAAAATCAAATTTTTGTTTGCTTGCTAAGCTTGTCCATGCTTCCTGTTAGTTTTCTTCTTCACTATCTGCTTTTATTAATCAAGTTTTAAGTTGCATAAGAACCAAATTTTTTGTATATTCACTACTAAAACCCTTACCTTTTCAAAAGATAAAATATTCAAATATCCCACTTATAATTTTTATCCATTATCATATTCTCTTTAAAGATTGATCTGTGGGGGCTCAAGTACAAATTGATAAATCACAAAAGGTAAAATATCTCTCTTTAAACAAAATTCACAAAGGTCAAACCATTGATCATATTTCTATTTCTCGTATAAGTTGTCTCTCAATCTACTAGAGAAAAGGAATTATATTATTATTCTGTCAACTTTTGGTTGTATTTATTTATCCCTTTTATGCATAACAGGATTGCCAAAGATCCTCGATTTAAAAGAGTACTATGTACTCATAAAGGGACCTATGCTGATGACTGCCTTGTTGAGAGAGTTACTCAGGTGTGATATATTTTTATGAGCTAAATGCTCAGAAGCATTTGATAGCAATTCAATTATTAAGATTAATGATTTTTCAGGATGTATGAGAATTAGTCTTTTTTTTTTTTTTTTCTTTTTTACCTGTATTATGATCCTTAGGATGGGAAAACCAATTTTCAATTATCTTTTATACAGTAATGAAGGCGAGTGCCATCATAAGATGATGGGAAATTTTGTTGATTTCTAAACCCTTGTAAATTTGTTGGGTTACTTATGTCTTATCATGTGGGACTGTGATATTTAAATCTCGACAGTATATGGTCATCTACATCAGTAAACAAATGTCTACTGCTATTCTTCAGATGTATGTTGAATAGAATATTGGTATAAAATAGAATATCTTCATGTCTTCCCTCCCATGTTGTAGTTTGGAACTATGAACAATTGTAGCAATATTTTTATCTCAAGTTTGAATTTATAACCAAGAAATAGCATCACAAGTACATCATTGAAGTGAACCATTTTACGAAAATGTTTTCAAATAAAAGTAATGATAACAGTAATATGCTGCTTATTTCTGTGTTCCCCCTTTATTTTTATTCAAACTATTTTCTTGGAAACAGCACAAGTGCTACATTGTTGCAACATGTGATCGGGACTTGAAGAGGAGAATTCGGAAGGTAAAGTCATTATTCATTTTGCATCTTTGTTTGTTTTGATATTGGACTCATGCATGGCCCATGAATTGGCTTCTGTATTACAGATTCCTGGTGTTCCAATAATGTACATCACCAAACACAGATACTCAATAGAGCGGTTGCCAGAAGCAACAATTGGTGGAGGTAGATAGTCTTCTTTAGTGAAATTTATAATGTTAATTCCATTGGAAAATTAGCAGTGCCAATATACTGTACTGATTACCCTAGCCTTTCATTATATATGATATCTGGCACTCAAACTGACGTACTTGTGATTCTCAATGCAGCACCAAGAATTTGATGCAGTGAAACTAAAACTGGTAAAGCTAGCTATACCAAGAATATTACAGAGAAGTATGAAATCCTGCTAATTACCTGCGTGATTGGTCTTTTTTCCGGGTGGATTGAATTCTATCGGAAGTTTTAAACTCAACAAGAAGCAACTCTTCAATGGTTTTTATACCTGAAATTTTCTTAGTTTAACTTATGAATGTAGGTTCTGTGAAATTTTGTTTTCCTGAATTGTGTATCTGATGTATCATTGTGAGCCTTGAAGAGTTTATAAATTAAGATGACATTTTCATAGTTCACGCCATGCAATATTCTTAAAACGATCCCTTTGTTGTTAGAGGAGGACCTTATATTCCTTGAATCTAAATTGCATTAATTCATCCTTCAAATGGCAGAAGACTGAATCGGGAAAAAGGAGTAATTCAGGACCACTGTTTTACTCCTTTAAAAGCCAGTACTTGTTTCAAAAACTTTATGCTTTTAATCATTTAAAATATGTTAAGCTTTTTTCTTTGTATTTTTTAATTTCATGCTTCACAAGATTTAGCAGTTATTTTATCTCATTAAATTTTGATGTCAGATATAAATAATATTTATGGAAAAATAATTCCCCAACAACTTCAACTAGGTGCATATGTGATCTTATTTCAACATTTATATTTCATGATATCCTAATCCAAAATTTAGCTAACTAGAAAGGTTTTGATGAGTCTCCATAATTTTGCCAAATAAAGTAATAGAGAGGATATATTAATTGAGGAAACAATAATTGCAGAGAGTTAGTTTATTTTTATGTAAAAGTGTCAACAAAAAAAATTGCTTATTTTATAAAGGTTGCAGAAAGGTACAGAAGTAAAAGACAGATTTACATATTGTTTTTATTGAATTGGAAATGTTTATTTGACTTGTATAGGATTTATGCATAGCATGTATGGAAGGGTAACTATTAGTTTGATAAAGAGGTGAAGCTAAGGACTTTTCTATTGAAATAAGATTACTTCATGGGTCAAACTTAAAAACCTTGTTCAATTTAGTATTTGACCTGCTTATTAAGGATGTACAAAATGTTACATTTTATTCCATGTGTTTTGACGGATGACATCGTTTTGATTGAGGAACCAAACAGTAAGCTTGAACACTAGATAGCAAACAAAATATTTTCGTGCAAGTTGGAAAAAGAGAATATATATTATAAATTTAACAATATACGAAAAATTTGACCTCAATATAAAAGTGAGAGAAGTCATACCATAGGTTTCAATGTTTCACTATAAATTATTGAATGTCATGTAAAACACTTTATAAATATTTAGGTTTTCTTAATAATTTGTTTGCATATGTTTGATTTGGTCCCGATGTTTCTGTATTTCTTTTTAATGGATTTTCTTTTCATGTATTGAATATATGATAAATAAAGATGTGCTAACAAGGTAAAACTGTGATGCTATACATGAAAAACCTTTATTTATATATATATATATATATATATATATATATATATAAATAAATAAAGTAACTTTAATGAAAAGGGACATTAGTTATTATTTGTGATAGAAAGTTACTATCAAAATAGGGACAATTTTATTACACAACTATGTAGTCAATCCTAGAATTTAAACGTGCCAACATTAAAGATAAATGAAAAGTATTACATATGCAATCTTAAAGGATAGGAAAAAGAAAAATATAGGAGGACTAAAATCGTGGACGAAATATTATGATGGAATTTGAGGTCATGTTTAACATTATAGTTTTAATAATAAAAAAATATTAATCATTGAGACAAAATGTATTTTTTCTTAATATAATCTAATTGTGCAGTTTGATTTCATTTTTGTAAATGGCGTATGAAATGAGTTCCAGTGGCACATATAAAAATTGTAGAATATTAATATCAAATGCCTTGTATGTATAGAGTGAGGTATCAGCAGAGACACGAGGGAAGGTGGAGTGCGGGCGAGGGTAAACGTAACGGTAGTTAAAGTTAAGGCGTCGTTGAGTTTGGTACATGGACGAAGTGATGACCATGGCGGATGTCGCGGCTAACACGCAAACCTCCTCCTCCTCCTCCTCCTCCCTCCCTTCCAATCTCCCTCTCATCTCCGCCTTCCTCTCCTTCGCCCTCGCACAGTTCCTCAAGATCTTCACCACCTGGTGCGTTCCTCGGTCTCTTACACTTTCACCAACGCGTAATGTTTTTCTCTCTTTCCCCTTTGCGCTGTTAATTCAAACACAATTATCTGCCTTACCGCCGTTGTTTTCCTTTTCGTTAGATCAGACCGCTACAATAAGAAAAGCGCGCGTGTTTGTGTGTTTTTTTAGGATCCTGCCTGTTACTCGCCCTTTGGACGCCTGTGTTGCTAATATTTGTGTTTTGTCGATGATTCGTTTTTCTTGTCTCGTGTTTCGTATTTTTGTTAAGGATTTGTTGAGATTTGAGTTTTAGGGTTTGGAATTAAAATTTACGGTCTGCACTTTTGTTCTGTGCTCTAGATATTGGAGTGTTGGGAATGAATCATTCCGTGGGAAAATCTCGTCTCGGTTTGCTTATAGATATGTTTTTCTTGGCAGTTTTTTCTTCTTTGAGAAATCGAATATTTTATTCAGTATTGTAAGGATTGGATTCTGAAGCAATATTTAGATAAAATTTTTCTATACGTACTCATTAGAGTAGAAAATGTAATAAATCTATCGATTACTAAAATTAGCTTAGTGAACAAGTTAAAATCAGTTATTCTAAAAAGCTATATGAGATAAACTTTAACGAAAAACTGAGTTTGATTTGTGTATATGAGATAGAATTTATTTAATTTTATCTTTTTTCTTAAAGAAAAGCAGAAGAACATTAGCAGAAAATATTGTTTAAGCTGGTAGTTTTTCTAACGTGAAATGAAATGAGAATTATATCTAGTTAAAGTTTTGTGCACATGTTTGCCGACATCTCGTACATTTTTGGATGTTTGGCTACATGATGCTGTGTTTTTTTGTATAGAACTTAATTTTTTTTAGGCTGCTCTGTGTGAGATTGGAAATATGAGCTTAAATTTTTGCAAAAATTTTCTCCTAGATACTCAGGTATAAAGAAAAGAGATGGGATTCTAAAAGGTTGCTTGATTCGGGTGGTATGCCTTCGTCACATTCTGCAACAGTGTCGGCTCTGGCCGTTGCTATAGGTCTGCAAGAAGGCGCAGGGTCATCTGCTTTTGCTGTAGCCGTGGTCTTGGCATGTATTGTATGTATTCTGTATTGTCTTGTTTGTATTAAAAGATGGTTTTTTATTTTAAATTTTGGTTTTGATATGTGCGGAAATATGTTCATATTGTACTTTACTTTCTTGTGTTTAGTCTGGATAAGTTTTACTAACTAATTAACAACTATGATTTAATGTTTCAAGTGTTCCAGTATTAGGATCAAAATTTATATTGGCATACATAAATTGGGATTTAGATGAAAAAAAATACAACTGCATTAATAATGGAAAGATTTTAATGGTATGATTTTCTGCCTTTTGAGTCTTCTGCTGCCCCAAATACAAATTATTCCACATGTTCTGATAAACAACCCCACTAGCAGATTTACGTACGACTTCGATTGTTATGATGCTTCCATTGGTGGGGTATTAAAGAATACATTGTAAGTGTTTGGAATTTACTATATCCAATTGCTTTAATTTTTGAATTATTATTAGTTCTTATGCTAGTAACATGTTTTGTATCATGTAAAATACGTCTACCAAGGAAGATTTTATAACATGCTGATTGCTATTTTCTTCACAATTTTTTCTTTAAAAGAAATTGATAAGGAATCTTTTGACCACTTTCATGTGCTTCTTTGGTACTATAATTTGTTTATGATGATATTTGTCTGGAGTTTGGAAATGCAAGTGTCTTTGCTGGTCTTGGTCTTTACAACAGTCAAGTGGGATGATTAATTTGAGGGTAACTTTTGTAGGTTATGTATGATGCGTCAGGAGTTAGACTTCATGCAGGTCGGCAAGCAGAAGTAATTTTTTTACATGATGCTAGTGTCATTGTCTTGTTTTACATTCTGCCATTAGTTTACATATACAAATACATTTCATACTTTGCTTCTGTCATGTACTGCAGTTGCTTAATCAAATAGTGTGCGAACTACCTCCTGAACATCCTTTGTCTAATGTCAGGCCTCTGCGTGATTCACTTGGTCATACTCCACTTCAGGTGAGTTGGGATTTTTGCCGTGCTTTAGGTTGTTCCAGGGTTTCCTAGTTATGATAGTTTTGTACGCTTTACTCTTCTGTTTGGTGACCAGCAATCTCATTCAATGTTCAATAAACTGTAATATCTGTTATTGTTGGAGTATTTATGACCATGATCAGATATTATACACAGCTCTTCCAATACCATATTATTGGTCCGCTAATACCTTTGTTTCTCATGTGTGGTATATTTAGGATGCAAGAATTGTATTATACGAACCATTACTTGTGGGAAGCTACGGGGTCCTATTTTGCTGATTGTTGCATACATTTTTATTAGTCAGAGACTAATGTTTTCTTTGGTACAGGTTGTTGCCGGTTGCATATTGGGATGCATTATAGCATTTTTTATGAGAAAATCAAATTAAGATCCTTGTGATGTGACTGATACTAATCCTCAATGTAAAAAATGTCGGTGCTTGATCGAAACGAGAGCATCATGGAAAGCATATAAAAGCCTGTTGATGCAAGTATGGAAGTGTGTAAAGGGCGTTGATGGGTCACCTGAGTGATCCTACGTCTAGACTATCGGACATTCAGATTTCTTTTGTACACATTAATTAATCGGTTTGTTAGTCCTGTCTTAATTAATCTTTTAACACAATTTCAGATCACACTAGCTATTCTTTGGCTTGTTAAAATCCACCTATTGTTGCAAAGGCACTCGAGGTTGCATTTTATGTTTCATCCTCAAGTAGATTAATGTTTATGTTTCTCCATGGTTATGACAGTTTTGTCTTTCATGTTTTAAGCTTCTAAATTAAATTTTTTGAGTCATTTTGATTGGTTGGCCGTGTTCATGGAGTAGTAGTGTTAGTAACATTTTATTATTTATTTGATTATGTCATAAATGGATCACTCTTTAAAGTTAATATTTTAAAGCATGAATTAATAACTAAAAATATGTTAAAGAATGAATTAAAAAACATTTTCTCATAATTTATCTTCATGTTGATTTTGAGAATAAAGCTATTTGTTATTATCAATGTTTTTTAAAACATTTTTGGTAACATCTTTTTATAATCATTTGAAATTTACTGGAACCCTTTTCCTAACTATTGGATAAAAACTTCAAAATATCAAAGGTCAATCAGTTGTAAAAAATAATCCTAGCAGCGTTATTTTATCCCTGAATGACCTCCTATCTATGTACACTACTTCATAAATCTATTTAATGAAAATAATAGAAGGTCTTTTGATTTTCAAACTTCTGGCGAGAAATCAAGAAGAGTTAGCACATATACAACCTCAACGTAGTTCATATGTTCCAGCAACGTACTAAATAAAATTTCACCTAATTTATATAGGTACCTCTCTCTCTCTCTCTCTCTCTCTCTCTCTCTCTCTCTCTCTCTCTCTATCTATCTATCTATATATATATATATATATATATATATATATATATATATATATATATATATATATATATATATATATAAAGTATGCACAATAATTTCTTTACCATTGAAATAAGTCCTAACTTTGTAACAGTGGAAAATTAATTTTCATGTAAGATCGAGTGTTACCCGTTTCCTTTCTGAGCAAGTCTTCGTTGGTGTATATTTCTCTAACAATTCAAACTGCAATAAATGGAGGGAAACTATATCATTTTTGTTCTGTTACCAAATAATCGCATGAATCAAGGGGAAAAGGACCAACCTTAATCAATCCCCTACATTTCAATGGCGGAAACCTTAAGTCCTAATCCAACCACGGCCCACAAAAAGAGGGTTCCGATGTCCGCTCGTATCCAGTCTCCGACGAGTGCCTTCTTCGTGGGGTCCAACGACGACCAGCTCGAACGTGCCCAGGCCCGTGCAGCCCGCGCGGCTACCATTCGCCGCAAGTCCCTTGCCGCCAATTTCCACTTGCAACCGCCCAGTTCTCTTCCCTGTCTCAACAAGCACCAGATTCTCGACTTGTTCCACAACTGCATAAAGCTCGCTTCCGAAAATGTAATCATCAAAATTGTCATCGTCATATTATTCTTTTGTTGTTTGTTTTCCTCATTATTTATTGGTTTTGTTCTGAGCGGAAGTTTACTTTGTTTTGTTCAGAAAATTAATCAGAAAAACACGTGGGAGTTGGATTTGATCGATCACCTCACTGATATTATTAGGGTTGAAGAAGGGAATCACATGGAGACTAATTTTCAAATAGTATGTTCTGCTTGTTACTTGATTTGTATGTTCGTTTTTTTTTTTTTTTTCAAAAGTTACTCAAATTTTCAGTTTGGCTTCGTCCTAAACCTACGTTAAGAAAATACTATCATCCCAAACCTATTTTGATTTGAGAATTATAAGAAAATAATATCATCTGTCTGCGGGCATTGCCTGGTTTTATGGGTTGTGATTTCCTGAAGTTTAGTACATTTATGTGATTATATGCTGTTTCTAGCAATGATGCATGCCATCTGCATTATTTCTAAAGCTCGCTTTGGAGAAACCCATTCTTAAGGAGTAGTAATCGCTTTTCCTAAAGTTATCTCAATAGGCGGTCAAAAATGTTATTATTTTTCTATAATAAACTATCATTTTGAATTAGGTTATTGTTTTTGTTCTATGTTTAGCAAATGCACGTGGACTTGTAAGTGTAAATGCACAATCAATGTGACGTCTGTGACACTGAAAGCAGATACTTGTATACATTACTGTTACATTCCACTTTTTTGTTTTATTTGGGCAGGCAAGCTGTACTCTTGAAGCTGGAGTCAAAATATATTCCTTGAGGGTGGATTCAGTGCATTCCGATGCATATAAAGTCCTTGCTGGAATGAGTAGAGCCGGCCAAGAAACTGTGGAAGGTTACTAAAGTACCCTCTTATCAAGCCTACTTTATTCTGAACATTTTTTGCCATTTTATAACAAAATATGTTATCCTTTGCTTTGCAAATGGGGGCCATGAGGATTGTTTCCTTCCTTGATTTAATTGTAAGTTATCTAATTTTACTTGAATGTTTGGTATCTTAAGAATCTATGAACTATGAATGGCCGCGGTATGCACTCTACAATACAGAACTGTTGGTATTTCAACTTTTTATTCGTCACTAGTTTCTAATGCACAGTGTCAAAGTGTCCAGACGCTACTTTAGGGAGTGTTAATGCAGAAAATGGACAGGCAAGCACGAAGGAAGTTGACAAAAAGGTTGATAATCTAGATCTTTGGATTGAAATCACACGTTTTGCAAACTTCTAAGCCGTGTTTGTCCATGCAGTTGTTGTTTTTGTCAACATTGGAATCATCTTTTGAGGTTCTTAATGTAAAGAGGTTTGAAGGTGATCTAAAATCATTATATTTGTCACTTGTTTGTTATGTGGGATAGAGATTGCGCTGACAATGTATTTATTTCTTCAGTTGCATTTGCTGTGGATCCACTCTATCACCAGACGTCAGCACAATTTGATGAAGGTGGAGCCAAGGGCCTTTTGATGAATAATCTTGGTGTATATGGTAAATGTCGGGTGCTCTTTGACTCACAAGAAGTGCCAGGGAAGTGCATAATAAGTCAAAATGAACATGATATTTCAGATACAATTGATCTTTCTTTCGCCAGAGGTATATTGATCTTTTAAATGGAGTAGCAAAACTAGTGCAGCATAACAAATGCAGACATTTAATATGGGCCAGGGACTTAGTTATCTTTACTCTTGTATAGATAGTGTTGAACAGATGATATTAAGTATGCATACGAAGGATGAAATCTCTCCAACTCTCAGGATGATAGTAAATCAATTTGATGAAAATTATAGAAGGCCTTTTGATTTTCAAACTTCTGGTGAGAAATCGGCTGAGGAGTTCGATGCAGATATTGGTTGTGAAGTTGTCAACGGAAAAGAAGGAGATGATAACTCTTCAACTTGGAGTTATGATCAAGATAGCCAAACATTTGCTGCTGAATGGGGCTCTGGTGAAACAGACCCAAGTTTTCCAAGTTACCATGAGGTTTTGTAATGCTTCAGCTATACAACATCAATGCAAATATTTCAGAAGATTAATTTTTGTTGTTATATCAAGTGTTTGATGGGCCTTATATCACATTGTAGGAAAAAGAACCATTTCATTCCCAAGATCCTCATATGGATGACATATTTGAGAATGTTGTTGGATATTTATTTTTGAGTCTGGGTTTTAGGTCAAAGAAGAATTCATGGGCAGGCCTTGATCATTGGAAGCATAAAAATATTGAAGGTGTGGTATAGGAGACAGTTAGAGATTGTAATGGCTAGTTGTATCTGTATTTGGGAGTTCAAGTTAATCTATTCTGATCTATTTCTAGGTTCAAAGTCAAAGGTTCATTGTACTTCCGAGGATATCCAGAAAACCAGGAAGCCAAGGACAACGAGACAGGTCAAAGTTGATTTAGAATTCACAAGTTTTCTGGAGAAAAAAATACCAGATATCTTTTCTCCTCCCAAGAATCCCAAATCTTTACTGCTCTCGAAAAGTATATCACCTTGCATTACAAAAGATCCAGAGGATTGCCACTACGAACCAGAGGATCTTGTCAAGTTTTTTCTTGTTCCTTATGTAAAAGTACTTTATTAACGAATAGAAAATAGTTTTAAATATCTCTATTATAGTAATAGTAATTTTTCTCCAATGCTTGCTATACTTTCTGCAGTGTATTGGGAGAAGAACGAGAAGGCTATCAGGTAAAATGTACTAATTCTTTGCTGTCAATACAGAGCACATTTAAGACCGTTCACATTTATCATTGATTGCGCTTAAAACTCAGGTGTATTTGCAGATGTCTCAGGAGAACAATGTAATGACAACGAATCATTCCCTTCCTGGGGTAATGGAAGTGTTTGGGATGGTGGTGTCACTGATGTACATAATGACATGGATGACTCTAGCACACTTATTTCCCAGCCTCGTCAGGTGGGTTAACAGTTTTTATTGAATATTTTACACTGTTGCTCTTGATATATGATATGTATCCCTGTTCATTACTTTTAATTTCAACATACAATTTTGCCTAAGATGATTGGATCTCAGAGCATTCGTATGATTATTTATTTCCAAATAACACAGATCAATAAAATTGAAGTCCAGTATGACAAAACATCCAAACAAGTAAATGTGGAGGCTCTGAAAATAACACTTTGGGACCGAATTCAAGAATCTATTCAACTTCCATTTCAGGTATGGTACGGTTTCGTCATTTGTTAAAAAACTCTGCCTGAGACTGCATTTCAATATCATTCCCTTTTGAACCTTCCCTCATTAAAATAAAATACTAATTGCGTCTGTTTCTTTCATACGTTTGTTATGACAACTTTTTGCTCCATTGTTAATGCTGAATGGTTTCGCTTTACTGTTCTATGAGCATAGATGGTAATTTTTCTTTTTTTTCTGTTCTTTGAAGTTGAGTGATAAGTTCTAATTCCTTCACTGCTTTCTTGAAGGGTCAAAAAGAAATGGTATCTTTCAGGCATATATTGGCAAACTTTCCTAGTAAAAGCAATGCTGCTGCGACTATCAGTGACATATCTCCACATTTGTGTTTCATATGCCTATTACATTTGGCTAATGAGAAGGGGTTAAGCATTCAAAGTTGCCCCACCTTGGATGATCTTGGCGTATGCCTACCTGATGATGGCCACTAACAACAGAACAGTTTAGATACTGCTTCATTCAACTATTTCTTCACTTCGGGAGAAAGGAAACATTGCAACAAGTATTTATGTGCAGTTCCAGTTTGTTTGCTTGCTCTGATGCTTTTATTTGTTTTCAGAAAGTGCGCTTTAGTTATTTTTTGTTCATAAGCAAGACCTCATAAACATAACTTCTACAACGTTTTTAGGATATTACATAATCAGAAGATTGTAAATAGCAGGTTTTGGATTTGAAACGATGGTAAAATCTGAGATTTTGAATAACTTCTAAGGAGTACTATAGGAGGAAAAAAAGTTAAAACGTATTAATTAGGTAAAATAAATCAAATTCTCCTTTAACTTCAAATCATGACTAAGAACATCTCAATGCAAGTTGGTAAATTGTTTATATTTTTTTAATAATTGTTTCGTTAAACAATTTAAAAAAAAATAATAAAGGGAGAATGAAGAGAGAATGAATTTTTTATAATTTATTAAAAAAATTCTATTAAAAAATGAGTTATATAAAAATAATGTGATACAATAAATTTATATTTTATATTTTTAAAAATAAAAAGTAATGTATATAAGTTATTACCACCGGAAATACCTTAAGTACTTCGATGTTATATTAATATTTAATTATTTTAATGTAAAATTAATGTCAAAATTAATTTAATTTTTTTTTAATAATAAATATGCATTATCTAGTTAATGGTGTTAAATCTTTATTTTATTTTTTTAAAATGATCTCATTACAAAGTGATATTACAATATATCTCGATGTATTTTTTTTTCAATTTAAAAAAAATTAAATTAATTATATCTTAAATTGAATTAGGTTAATTTTAACTTTATTAGTTTATGATTGAAATAACCTTAAATTAAGATAATTATTAATTAGTCCATTCATTTTATAAAATAATAATTATTAAATAATAAAATAAAAATATATTATAAATAATTTAAGAATAAATAATTAATTTTTTTATTTTCTTATAATATAATAATTAAAATAAAATATTTTATATATTTATGTTAGTAAAAATAATAATGACAATATTTAATTCTTATTCATAAAACAAATAAATCTTTTCTCATATAAATTATATACCAAATTAATATATATAAGATAAAAATTAATTTTATTTATATAAAATAAATTTGTAAAAATTATTTTTTCATTTTATAATTTTATTTTAATTTATTTTTTTATATAGGTATTATATATATATATATATATATATATATATATAATTTAATAAGTTAAAATTGGCTTGTTCAACTAATAAAGAATTAAATTTAAAAAATTATAATATATTTTAAAATATAGGTTAAATTGTATAATAATAATAATAATAGTTATTATTAGATTTTTTTCTTATGTTAGGCACCATACAATACGAGAGTGAGCCATAGATTCAAAAATTTATTAAGAGTGACATTAAAACTATATTTCATAAAACTACCTGAAAAATTAATTAGAAGTTGAAAAATTAGTCAAAAACTAGTTGAATTATTGAATTATAAATGTTTGACAAAATGATAAAAATAGATACGTTAAAATGATAGTTAATATAAATTTAAATTATTTTTTATGAAATATATTTTGAAATATTTATGATTTAGTTTTTAATTAATTAAAAAAATCTTCTAATAGGTATCTATGGATCAATTATTTTAATTGTATTGTTTTATTTCACTTGCTTTATTTTTTATATAGTATATTTTAATATAAATAGCATACTTAAATAAATATTATATATTTATTATAATGATTTTATTATACAATTATTGTATTAAATATTGTATTGATTTATATAATGTAAAGGAAAATTTACAATTATCCTAAATAAAATATACATAAATTGTCCTGATTATAACGGAGAACTATTAAGAAATATCAATAATTGAGTCTTTTCTAAAGTCTTGATGAATATATATATTAGCTCAAGTTGGAAAAGATATATGACCTCTAGCAATAGTTCATCGCAAAAGTCCATCACGAATAAAGTGGCAGTTCACTTCAATATATTTGATGGACTCATGAAAAAATCGGATTAGCGATAATGTTAAATGCAACCTAATTATTATAATAGAGTTTTATAGGTCTACAATGATTAATACCAAAACATGATAAAAATATCTTCAGTCATTTTAACTCACAAATAGTAGTAATCATAGAAATATATTATGTTTCTATTTAAGAACGAGACACAATGTATTGTTTCTTATTTTTTCATGAGATGGGTGAATTATCAAAAAGAATAAATCAACCAATAAAATATTTTCTAATCAAATAACAACTAGCCTAATCTGAGTTAACCAAACATATAAATGTAAATCACAATCAACACTTAACAACATTCCTTATTAAGGATTAGCCTTCAAAAAGTACACGACACATATTCCAATGTTCCTATCAAGGATGTTGTGTGAATTATGCAAGTGTATGCGCATAATAAGAAAATTCAAACTTAGTAAAAGACAAGTAAATTAATTGTCTCAGCCTAGTAAAAGACAAGTAAATTAATTGTCTCAGCAAAGTTCTATGTATTAGATATGGAAAAAGAGAAATTTTAACTAAGTGAAATATTATAAAATAGAATAAATATCTATTATTTTTAAAAAAGTAAACATAATTAAATATATTCTAAAGACACAAAGAAAGTGGATTTAATAAAGTTAAAAAAAAACACTTCTTGAAATTATGAAACAAAAAGTTTGTTTATCAAATATTATTTATAAGATCCATCAAACTAAAAACCTAAACTTACTTTAAAGGCATATCAAACATGTCTAAGAATAACATGACAGAATTCTCATCAAAAGTGGTAAAATTTGTGTTTAGAGGATTTGTATTTAGGAAACTCCGGATAATAATTATGAAGTTTTTTTTTATCATAATAAAAAATAAGTATAAATTATGTAATTGTATAATTATATATAAATGATTAAAGTTTATAAATTATATTTTTGGATCACATAACTTCTGTGTTTTAATTTTATAATTTACGACGAGGTTTAACAGATTATATTTTGTAATATTTTTATTTATATAATAATATATAAAAAATATTACTTTATTTAAGAATAAAATTATTTTAATCTTATGTAATATTATCAAATTTATTATAAATTTATAAAAATAAGAATATTTTGACTTTAGGTTTTAAATATTATTTATTTTAAAATTTTAAATTTTAAAAAATATCTTAATAAATTAAGGAAAAAAATATAAATTGATTACATGACCCTTGTAAACATTCTGAAACCATTCTAATAAAAAAAATTCTTAATTTAATATTTTGTTATGTAATTTTTTTCTCTCCTATTATAATAATAAATAATAATAATAATAATAATAATAATAATAAAAGTATAATAAATAAAATTATGACTTTTTAATTTTTAAAATAAAAATGTTTAGCTTAAAAGTACAACAAGGCCAGAATTAGAATGGTTGAGAAAATGAGAGAAAAAGCTTCATCGAATTAGGGTGTGACAGTTTGGCACAACACATTTAAAGTGATTGACGTAAAAGTTGTACATGTACCCCGACCTGTAGCAGAAAAGAAGCAAAGGCCAAAACAAGGGTTGATCCCACCCCCATCACATGCTTCCTAACACACATCACTTCCAATTATTATTATTCACATTACACAGCTTAAACAAACAAAACATTAACTATTCAAACTCTCTCTCTCTCTCTCTCATATCTGATATCTTAACTTTCATTTCTCCCCATCACACATCAACCACCACCACCCAAACACCTTCACCTCCTCCTCATTCTCCTTCTCCTTCTCTACCATGTCATTGCCACCGCCGTCGCTGGTAACGGCGGCCACTGCGACGGACCTCCCGATCAGGCAGATTCCTGGAAGCTACGGATTCCCCTTGCTTGGCTCCTTGTCGGATCGACTCGACTACTTCTGGTTCCAGAAGCCGGAGAGCTTCTTCAGGAAGCGAATTGAGAAGTACAAGAGCACGGTCTTCCGCACCAATGTTCCTCCCTCCTTTCCCTTCTTCGCCAACGTTAATCCTAACGTCATCGCACTTCTCGATGTCAAATCCTTCTCCCACCTCTTTGACATGGACCTCGTCGACAAGAAGAACGTTCTCGTAGGAGACTTTGTCCCCGACGTCGCTTTCACCGGAAATATCAGGGTCAGCGTTTACCAGGACACCACCGAACCTCAACATTCGAAGGTGCGTCTTCTTCATCATCAATTTCGTTTCTAAATTATGAAATTGCGTAATTAAGGTTAAGAAGTTGAAGTTTCGGTTAGGGAAATACTGTTTTGTCAGTGTGAAGAAATAATAATATCAACAAAAGAGAAAAAAAATGTGTGGTTATCGGTTTTGAAATAATAACGTGCACCATAGGTGTTTCTATTATCGTTTTATGTGATGTATGGAAACAAATTGAAAAGAAAAGAAAAAGAAAAGTAGTGTTTGGAAGGAAACAAAATATTATTATGATTGAGGATGGTAGGGACTAGAGACGTGAGACGTCGTTTTCAAATTAGAGCTTAGAACGTACATGTAACATGCATAACTGGATTACTACTATGTGGTGTGCAACGATGCAGAGAACATTATTTTTTCAAAAATATCCATATAAATCGAGTTAGAGAGACTTCGTACTTTGAATTTCTGTTTTTCACCATAGGTAAGAAATTTTGTTTGTTTGAATAGGATATAGGCTATATATATATATATATATATATATATATATATATATATATATATATATATATATATATATATATATATATATATATATATATATATATAAAGTTGAAGTTTGATTTTTTTTTAATGGTTTAAACATGATATAGAATTAGGGAATAAATCTCATATTTGTTTTAATAATTAGGATAACTTAGCCTTTTCATTTTGGTGCTTCAGTAAAAAAAAAAAAATTAGATGAGTAGGACTTGTTAATCCGGCATAAGTAGGAGGAGTTACATATTCTACTTTATTGTGTGAAAAGGTTGTTGAGACGAGTACAGTAAATAATTTTTTTATATAAATAATTTTTTATTAACTTTTAAAAAATTATTTTTTAATTATATAAATAATTTTTAAATTTATATTTATTAATTAATATTTTAATAAATTAATTAAAAAATTACTATATTTATATATTAAAATAATTAATTCTAATCAATAATTTATATTTAATTAATATTTATAATTTAATTTATAATATTATATTATATTTATATTTTTTAATAATATATTAAAAAATTAAATTTTTTTATTTTAATTTAATATATAAACATATTTTAAAAAATATATCAGCGGTCCACCTATTCCATCCATCATTGGTTAGTTAAGTAATATGGATTAAACTAAATTGATAAATTAAAATTATTAATTTATCCCATTAATTTTAAGATAGACCAAGGAACCATTTGAACTTAACTTTCTTATTTATCCCTATTGATAATATATTAGCACCCTTTTTAGATTATACGTAAAATTGTTAATTTTTTTTAATGTAAATTTATTAATATAAAATGAAATCATAAACTAAAATAACATTTGTTTTTGAAAGGCTAAAGGATATTATTTTCTTAATTTATATTTTGATATTTTTTTTATTTTTGATTTATGTTATCCTTGGTTAATTTAAAGTTAACATAACTAATGTGTTATGTTTAAAATTATTAATTTTAATTTAACATTATGTTTTTGTAACTATTACTATTTCCAAACGCTATAAGAATGTAAACTCCTATGAATTGAATTATCCACGAACTTGGGAAAATTTTGAAAATTGATGCAAATAACTTTTCGTATTGAGAAAATTGTATAGATATTAGTTATTGATAACTGCATTTATAAATTTTAATTGAATAAAATTATTATAATGACAATTTTAACCATCATGTTAAAATTAATTATTTTAAATATCACTGAAACACCAACTTCGTTTATGTCCTTTTCTTTTTTTCTTATGCTTGTTTTGTGAAACCCCATGTTTTTTTTTACTGTTTGAGCTTAGTTATTATGTTGTTTCTTACATGGTGTTTGTTTTATGTTGTAATTTTTTTACTATTTAAAAAATCACAATATAGAAGCTTTTTTTATGAAATTAGAAGTTAATTATACTAATAATAAGTCACTGACTATGTTAATTGAATTCTGACGAAGAGAAAAGGTTGAATCAAGTTTGAAAAAAAAAATGAAAGATCATAATAATTTTTTTAAAATAGGATTAGCTGAGTAAATATTGATTTTACTTACAATAAGTGTAATGAGTTCGAAAAGAATCAACGTCACTCTGTGTGTGTGTTAGAATGGTTTGCAGAGATGATCCATGATTAATTACCATGCAGGTGAAGGGCTACATAATGGATATCCTGAAACGAAGCTCGGGCATATGGGTATCTGAACTAGTGTCGAACCTAGACATAATGTGGGACAGCATCGAAGCAACACTCTCGAAATCTTCATCTGCGCCCTATATCTTCCCTTTACAACAATTTCTCTTCACCTTCCTCTGCAAAGTCCTCGCAGGTGCAGACCCTTCACGTGACCCCAAAATCGCAGATTCAGGCTATGCAATGCTTGATCGATGGCTTGCCCTTCAGCTCCTCCCCACTGTCAGCATCGGCATACTCCAACCTCTTGAAGAAATCTTCCTCCATTCCTTTGCCTACCCTTTCTTTCTCGTTAGTGGAGACTACAACAACATTTATAACTTCGTCAAGCAACAAGGTCATATGCTCATATCATATCCTATTTGCTATTCGATTTTCATAATCACTTTTTCAAACATAAATTTTAATAAATACATTTTTAATTATAATATTAGGTTATTTCAACTAAAACACTTTTTATATGAAATTCAAAGTAAATTTTCATGACATGAAACAATGAAGATTAAACACAACTCCTTCTTGAATGGACGATGCAAAATAACAGGCAAGGAAACCATAAACAGAGGCGAAATCGGGTTCGGGTTGACCCAAGAAGAGGCAATCCACAACTTAATCTTCGTGCTAGGGTTCAACTCCTTCGGCGGCTTTTCCGTTTTCCTTCCAACTTTGATTGATGCCATAGCGAGCAACTCCGCCTTGCAAGAGAAGCTGAAGAATGAAGCGAGGGAAAACGGCGGCTCAACGCTGACCTTTGACTCCATCAAACAGATGCCACTCATCCAATCGGTGGTCTACGAAACGCTGCGTATGAACCCTCCGGTTCCGCTGCAGTACGGTCGCGCCCGAACGGACTTCCGTTTGACTTCTCACGACTCCGTTTTCGACGTGAAGAAGGGGGAGTTGCTATGCGGCTTCCAGAAGCTCGTGATGAGAGACTCTCTCATCTTCGACGAACCGGACCGCTTCAAGCCGGACCGGTTCACTGGGGAGAAAGGGGCTCAGTTGCTGGACTACTTGTACTGGTCCAATGGGCCTCAAAGTGCGTCGTCCACTCTGTCCAATAAACAGTGCGCCGGGAAAGAGGTTGTGACCCTCACCGCGGCCTTGATTGTGGCTTACTTGCTTCGCAGGTATGATTCCATCATCGGCGATGCCAGTTCCATCACTACCCTTCAAAAGGCCAACTGAACTCAAGGGTAAATTTGGATTTTCATATGATGCTTGTACTTGATCTAAGATTGATATCTATTTATAGAAGAGAGTATAAATGCAGGATTATGCAATTCTATACTACACCACATTCTATCTTCAGATGAGAAGTTTACATCTCGACGCCTTAGTGAAACATTTTGCTAACACATTATAAACTCATTAAAATCTTTCAAATTCAACCATCAATGATCTAGAGAAGACACATTAAACCATTGTAATTAAAAAAGTCTGAATAAAGTATTAAGAAACTCTTTAAAACAGGTTTGCATCCAAATGTGACTTGCAAAAATAGAACATCATAAATGACTTTTGTAAAGATCTTCCCAATGGTTCAACTTGATGCCCTTCAATTGTTCTGTCAAAATTCAATACCACATACTTGTAAAATGTGAACATAATTCAAAGAAACCTTGGAATTACAGCACGTAAAAGTGTAGCAAGCGAAAAATGATCACTTGGTAATGGTACTCCTACACAGCTGAACGAAGAACAAAGCTAGCAGCATTGCCTTGTATATTGTGGATAAGGGAATTCCATACTTTCCTTTCCCAACCAGTCCTTTCAACAAAGGCAAGTAGCACAGAACCACATAAGCACTGCAAAACACCTCACCTAGCCCATATGCACCATCATTTTCAACTTGTTGCCACCCCCACAAGGCAGTGACTAGAGCTGTGAGTTGAATGAGCAGAATGGTTGTGCCAGGTACAAAAATGGGAGACTCGTTGAATAAGAACCTACCCACGTTTTCATTGTTAGAAGAAGGTTGGTCTTTCTTTGTTATTTCGAAGACAGTGTCAGATATCTTTAAGCGCTTAAGGAGGATATCAAAAAATCCGAAGAAGCATGACGTCATGGTTGTTATTCTTCCCATTCTCTGGTTGTTCCACCATGTTCGAGCTGACAACCCTGATATCAAGTGCTCTGATAAAGTACCTACGTTGTACATCACAAATGCACTGATAGGGAACCACATGCCCGGTTCCTGCACGATCATCGTTTACAGATAATTGAACCATCAAATAATATGTTCCAAGCTATAAAGGGTAATAATCGCAAAAGATAAATATTCTGAATTTTCCTACTTTTTACATAAAAAAGAAGCAAGTTTTCCAGTTGAATTTTATAAATTACAATTTTGGCATTCCTAAACTTTAAATGATTTTGGTACAACTTCAGAGCTATCTTTGTTTGAGGGAAAAATACTGATGTATACACTTTTGAATGAAAATATTTTACATCTGCATCGAATAGTAAAAAATATGAGTGAGATGGTTGAAAGAGTGAAATCAGTAAATGCAATAATCAAACTGATAAAGAATTTAAACCACTGAATGTGTTTACAGCTGACCTTATTAGGCAAGAAACTGGCATTGGCAATGATGCAGTAGGCAGGGAGAAGGGCATAGGATATTTCAGGGACAGAACGTAAGGCCCAATTTGTGAGCCAAATATACGCCAAGCACTCTCTGAATTGGAGCTTACCAAATAGAGTGCCAAAAATGGGACAGTGTCTGCTCAGGAAAATGTCAAACAAACCTGAGGACCATCTCTTGTGTTGGGCCATTTGGCCCAGGTTATCTTGAGGTGAACAGCCCATGAAGGCCATTGGATCTGGTGAACAAACTTCAGATCTCCAACCTTTTGTATGCATTACCAGCCCAGTAAGTACATCCTCTGATGTTGATCCATACAACCATCCCACCTAACAAATTCTCAATAGTCAACATCAAAAGAAAAAGTTTAATTTCTATTTATTTCAATTATAAAAATTTCCCTTTTTATGTTTTTTAAAATAATCGTAGAAAAAGTTAACAAATTTAATATATATGATTTTGTACGCCACATCATTAAAAAAAAAAAAATTTCTGTGTGAAAAGAACCGAATATCTGTTTCATATTTGGTGGCAATTTGTGGCTTGGACAAGTTGAATATCGTTTTTATTTCTCACCTGTTTACCCCATGCAGTGTTGTATTCATAGTCACAAGTAGCAACTTGGCTCGCTGCCTCAAGATCGAGAGATTTGAAAGGTTTGTCATTGGGAGTAAATGTTGTCTCTTCTAAAGCATGATTAGCTGATTCAACAAACCCTTTTGAAGCTCCAAATATTTGCATTGTTTTCTTTTCTGATATTGTTTCTTCACAAGATATGCAACACATTAAAACTAAAACTAACAGGAAATCATTGCATCAACAATTATATTCATTTGAGAATTTCTTCAAGCATAACAAGTACCATCAGTGAAGCCAAAATCCTTCTTTGCAGTTCTTGTGTCATGATCAGGAGAAAGGCCGTAGATAACTTTTCTTCTGTGAAAGCAATTTGTTCCTGCGTATATAATCCCCTGAAGTCCTGCAAATCCACCTCCTATGTACTGCATCACACAAAACATGAATGCAAATTTATTTCTCATACACAAACCCCTATTCCTAAATTTGTTTGGTGAATGATTTGACACACCATAGGCAAAGCCACCAGCTGATTTCCATAAGCATCATCCTTTACTGTATCATAGAATCGTTGGGGACATTGAACAAAAGCAACTTCTTTTTCTCCCTTTGAATCCAGCAAAATGCACAGTGCGTGTAGTGCAATCTTGGGATTGTTCACATACATGTCACAATCTACGTTTAGGATATAGGGAGCATTTGTCATCAACCCTGAGACTCTTGTCTGTTCCAAGTATTAATGATGGGAAATTTTAGATCAAAACAAAGAAGCACATTGATTTGTGATAGAGAGAGATTAGATCAAAATAAACTTTACCAAAACATTCATGGCACCAGCTTTGTAATGATGAGGATGTTGTGGCCTTTTTTCTCGAGATATGTAGATTAAGTGAGGTACTCCATCTGAAAGACCTTCTTTGTTCTCCCATATTACCTACCAACATAACATGAAACATTGCTTTAAATTTTTGTACCACTAAACCTAAAGTTACCCATTATTATTTTTGAAGAGGAAAATTAAACATTTATTCTTGTAATACTATCTATTTATGATAATTATAATATCATGATATGATCCAATGATTAGACAAGAAAACTTGGCTTTTCAAAAAATGTGATTCACTAATGCTAGTGAACAAATTATCAACACCAATAATAAGTGATGTATGAGTACTTACAGAAATGCTTGATCCAATGTACCTTAATTATGGTCGGGTAATTTCTCAGCTGTCTTTTTGAGAAAATTTCATATTCACCAACAACTGGACACGGATTCAACTCTTGGGAAGCATTCTGAATTTTACTGCTAAGTTGTCCATACTCTTCCTGCAAGTTATAAGAACACAAACATCCAATTTAAGCTTTGTTGGGTAATCTACACTTTATTTTTTACCCTTTACATTCATTTCATGAATACAAGAAACAGAACGAAGTGGAAACACAACAAATATTATTTCTTTCTTTCTTTTTTCACCAATACAAGAAAAGGGGAGGAGTATTGTAAACAATTATTTTTCTCTGGTACACCAATGACTAATACCATAAATAACTTACTTTCATTTTTAATGATTCTTGTTCAAACTCTGGAAATTCACTCTTCTCAATTGTGGCTTCCTCAGAAAAATATCTAAAGGGTGCTCTAACTTGTACATTGTACTTCTTGCAGAAAGGTACCCAAAGTTTAGCAAATTTGGTGGCTTCAACAAGGGCATAGTAAGTAAGAGGGGAACAACCATCATCAGAAACATAGCAAGCTAGCTTGTTAGCAGGGTAATCAAGGGCCAAAAGAGACAACACAGTGTTAACTGTTATGATAGGTGGCTCAAGCACTGGATCTGCTGTTGTCACAAACACGTCCACTTGTGGAAGCTCACCTTCCCTGATACAACGTCAACAAAATATTAATTCTTCAAACTTAAATTCCATGCTAATGAAGAAAAAGAATTAGTATAACTTAATACTAATAATTTCATTCAATAATTAAAAACACATTTAACATCTTAATAAATCAGTTTAAATCTTTTAAATTCAAAATTGATATAAACATTAAAAAAAATCATTAAAAATAACATTTTTTTATGGATGGAAAGATATTTTCAAATGATATCCTTAAGTGCAGAACAACATTAGTATTACAAACCATCAAGAAAGCAATCTAGAGGAGAAGAAAATACAAAATTTACCGAAGAAGGAGACGATCAAGGTGAGTAATGGTTTTTGCAGGAGTCCATTTTGTGCTAATGGTGGTGAGCCAAGTGAGGGTGAACCACGATTCACACAGAAATGCAACAAACCATGGGAAAGAATAGTGGTCATAAGAGAAAACACGATAACCAAGAAGCATAAGAAGAAGGAGGAAGATGAGAGAATCCACTGCTCTTGAGAATGTGTGTTTCAGCCATACTTTTTTGTAGAGAGGGAGCGTATTCCGATTGGCCATCAAAGGGAACAAGAAAGTGTAACTAAAAATCAAATTTTTTTTTTTTTCTTTCTTCTCTTTTGTTTGTTCTACGTTGAGGGGTTGACAAAAGGGACGCCGGAGTCCAATCGAGCGTGACAAAAAAATAACAAAAATATAAAAGGTTTATCTCACCCTATTTTACAACGGATCTAAATTTATGGTTTAACCTAACTTTATATTAGACTATAAAATATTTTATTTTAAAAAATAATATATCATTTAATTTTTATTGTACAACAATTTATCACGTAAAATTACCAAATATCAATTTGTTTTATACCTATAATTAATAACAAAAATAAACAAATAACATCAAATAATTAAAATTTTCATAATATAAAAATTATAAAATATTAAATACTAATTTAAACAGTGCAACTTAATCATAACTATATAACCAGCAACGAGTTTATGATGAAAAGTTTCATATTTAAACCATTTTTATATTTATTTAAGATAATACTCTCAATCTCTATTATTATAATTGAAATGTTTAAAATATCATAAAATTCAAATAAATGCCACCCTTAGAAACCGGCACTTTTAAAGGAAGCAGTTATGTATGGCTGCTGGTGCCATGTCAGAATGATTCTTATTCCAGCAGTTCTTAATCATATCTCACTTTGTGTTCAATAAATTAGAATAAATTGATATGAATGTTATTTCTTAAAAGCATTTTTAAAATACCATTTTGCAGGAAAAAACCAAAGTTCTATGTTAAATAATAATGTATACTATTAATCTGAGGAAGGATTTCAGTGGTTGACTAGGATAGAGAAAATTAAAAAACAGATCTTTCTTCTTACTTTATTAAACATTTATATAATCATACCGTACATAGGTTTAATCTACATTGTATTATTATATAATTACACATTTATTGATCTTAAAAGAGTGTATACGATATTCATGTTAGTTGGGTCTAATTTTTATTTGATATAAGATATGGAATTTAAGACAGAAAATTTAAAAGATTCGATTGGACAATGATTGCTTTATTTTCAATCAAATTTATATAATTAAAAAATTATGGCTCATGGCTATTATTGTGGGGCTAAAGTAAGAAAGGATGAAGTGACTACGTTTTTTAAGTTATGTTGTTGCAACTGTTTGCAAACATAATATGGGCCAATTGACCTATGCGTCCACAAAACATTGATCTTGTTACAAATGAAAGAAATAGGATATAAAAATAGGATTAGTTTTGAGAGATTTAAAGAATAGATTAAAAAAAATTATAGTTTAAATATAATTAAACAAATTTTTGCCTAATTTATTTAAAATATAGTCTAAATGGACTTAATTTAGTTAGTCCGTAAATTTACGAATAAATTAGTGTTATAAAATAATAATTATTTAAAATAAAAATAAAAATAATATTATTTTATTAAAAAATATATGTATAATGTTAATTTGATAATATATTTTATATTATATATATAATTTAGAAATAATAATAATTATTAAAGTAATTTAACTCTAAAATTGATTGAAATGCACCATTATTAAATATGATGTTTCATTGAATTATGTTGAGTATTAGATTTTTTGGATATAATTATAGATACAGATAAGTTTATATTTTATATGGTAAATAAATAAAAAATAATATTATTCATAATTTTATTTATTTTTAACCATTATTTTATTATTATTATTATTATTATTATTATTATAAATAGAGTAAGAAATTAAAAAAAGCATCATAATTAATTATAAATATCCCATAATTAATTATACAATTGAATGTACATCTCTTGTCCCTTCCTCCATTCTATCCCCCTGTTCTTTTTCATAATTCTCTCCAAACGAGTTCTCATGCAACAAATGGAGTTGGTTAATTTATATATAGAAAGACACAATTTTCATCATTTTTCTTTAGGACCCAATCCAGGTCAATATATTCAGATCACCACGAAACCCATTTGCATTATTTTTACCCAATTTGCCAATATTATATAAAGGTCCTCCATATCAAACATTCAATCTTTTAAAAGTATGAATTTTATATTTCCACTTGATGAATATTTTGTCTAGTGCTTTTCATTTTTTTAATCATACTAATTGTCTTGTCTTTCGATTGAAAATGATGAAATACCTTATCCTTTATGTTTCATATATATATATATATATATATATATATATATATATATATATATATATATATATATATATATATATATATATATATATAAAGGTTTACTTTATTTATTTTTATCTTTTCCAGTTCTTCATCTATGTAATGCAAAAACTTCGTAATGTTGTTCCGCTATATGCCAAAGATGTTTCGTTTACGCAATCTTTTGTGCTCCTCATTATTATTTTATTCGGCAATAAATTGGAGTTGGTAACTAAATATGCAATAAACAGTCAGAACAGAGGACAAAATTCACAAACATATCATACACTCCCAAGTAGTTTTACATATGTATAATTTAAAAACATTTCTTAAAGATTTTACTAAAAATTAATTTCTATAAATTAATTTACCTATAAACTAATTTTAACTTATAAAAAGACACTTTTAATATTTATAGAGAAAATTATTTAATTACATCTAAATAAATAATTTTGTTATTAACTAATACTTCTTTGATGCATAAATAATTAGGTAACTTACTTTCAAAGTGTTGGATGTAATAATATAGATATACATAAATATAAGAAATCTTATTTACCAATCCATTGATTAAGAATATATATAAAATATTAAGTATAATTTAAGTTAGCATTACAATTAATAAATTATAATTTAAGTTAATTTTTAAGTTATTATTACTATAAAATATTCTCAAAATAATAATAATTTATTTTTTAATAATATTTATCACACTCTCTTAATTAAAATTGAAGATTAACAAATTTTTAGATGATTCTGAAAAAAAATTGAAGTGAAAGATTGACAAATCCTTAGATGATTCCGAAAATCATAAAAAAATATACATGAAAGACTTCTAATAAAAATATGAACAATTTGATACTGAAACTTTACAGTGAAAGACTTTTTCATGTACAAATGCATCTCATTATGTTTTGTCCATCTCAGTTAGATTTAATGCACACCTTAGGCAAACAAAAAAACTGTTTCTGTTGTTCAATGCTATATTTCTAGAATGAGCTACAGTCAGAATAGACTTTCAAACCCGAAATTTCAAAAGATGTAGTCACACAATTTTGTTATGTAAGAACTTTGTGTCAAAACCTTAACACTTTTTCCAGCTTTCAACAGTCTTACATATTTAATAAGTACCAACAATTAAGGTTAGAAATACAACATCATTTGCATTGGTTTTTTACAATTTTGACTTTTTATGAATATACCTGGATTATATGGGACCTATGATGATTAGATACTACCCGTACTATATATATCTCATTCCCAAACTAGTATGCAATAACTACATGGAGGCCACACCAGTCTAAGCAGTGTGTACTTTCCCTTTAGAGTGAGTATTAGATTTGGAAAGCCCTTCTTTCCATCCTTTCTGACGAGCTCTCAGTTCCCACAATGCAGAGAGTTTCTTCTGGGCCAATAAGGCCATCTCAGCCTTTTCCCTGGCTTCTTCACATGTCTCCATTCCTGAATTACACTTGTCTGCTTCTTTTTGATACTGAGATGCAATCTTCTTAGATTCCAGCAGAGCCATGTCAGCACGATGCTGATTTTTCAAAGCTTCAGTTTCCCGGAGATTTAGTTCTTCTGACAGTAACTCCGCTACATTCTTTTCGGTGTCTCCATCCACCTTTGGATTGTGCTTTGCACAAGCTAATGTCAATTCAATTAATCAAGAAAAGAAACAGCAGTTGGTGAAAAGAGTTGGATATGGAAAACAGTCATAGAAACAGTACGTTGTAATGACACAGCTGCAGCAAAATAAAAACTCTGTCCTCAAGCTTTATATCTCATCTTCTTTCAGACAATTATCCAATATAAGAGTTTGTTTGAATAAATTTATATAAAAACACTTATCAGGAAAATGATTTTTTTTTTCATAAACTAAAATTAACTTAAGAATAATTTAATTTATAAAAAGCCCCTTATGTTAACTTCATAACATTTCCTGTTAATGATGAAAATGATGCACCACACCCAAACCAAGAAGTAACATCTAACTCAATCAAGTTCATACTTTTTTTTGAACACATCAGATAATATATTGCCTCATAGAGAAAATAGTTTGCAACACTAGCTAAGTACCAAGATTTTGTCACTGTAAAGAAACAGTGACAAAATCTTTGAATAATAGCTTTTTTTTCAAACAGAAGAAAAATTGGCCAATAATGAAATTTTTTATAAAGGGAAAACACATAAAAGGCACATGAGATTTCAAATCCTGATAGTTCACCCAATCTAAAAAGAAACAAGCAAGCTTATTAATTGAGTGAGAGTAATTATATAACTTTAGCTCCGATATTATCATAAGTATGATTCAAATTCAGTCAGAGAGGTCATGATAATTAAGAAAGGTTTACTCATGCACACATCAACTGAGATATGGAGTTCATTCAGGAAGCCAGAAACCAACCTTCAAAAGAAGAGTTGCTAAGCGCTGCACAAATACAAATAAAGAAACTGGAATAAGCACATGATTGATTTGGTGCGCAATCAAGAAAAAGCAGCAACAATCATAATGAAACAGCAGTCTTCAATAGGAACTAGAATTGCTGACAGAACATATATACATAAATAATAATTTACAAAATTCATTAAAGATAAGCAAGCAAAGGTTTTAGAAAAGTTTCAAGGCTAGTATTCATTTTAATTTAAAATGCAAATAGGCTAACAAGGATACTCTTGGTTTATTATTGTTAGTTTCATAATGAATGCTACATGACAACCGCATATAACCAAGCAAAAGGGTGACACTGGTAAATAATTAACCAAAGATTAATATTTAATTAAGGGAAGCTATAGCCTAAGCTAGGGCACGCCTATTGAATATTGTTTATTCAACTTAATAAGTCCCCATATGGTCACGTGATACAAATTGAGAGACCAAAACACATTTTATTCCAGTACTAACAATATTAATCAAATAAATGAATAAATAAAGACAAAAAAAGAAGAAGCAGATCTAAATTCGAAACACATGAAATGATGAAACCAGTTATTTTAAGGATTGGTAAGATGATGAGCCATAAAAGGAAAAAGGTAAAAGGGGTGGAATTGAATGAAGAAGAATACCTTGGGGAATAGAAATGATGGGTTGGGAAGAACAATCACAGAGGCAAGGAGCGCAAGAAGAAGAAGAAGAAGAATGGTTGAGGAGTTCAATGAGGTGCCAGTAGAGAGGGGGACCCACTATGTACCCTGCAATGGACAGCGCCACCACCCACAAACCAAACCTCACCACAACGCCACCACAATTCGAACCCATTTCTCTCTCAAACTCTGCACACTGAACTCTGCAGTGTATGTTATGGGGGTTGTGCTTTGCAGAGAGAAAGAAGAGAGAAAATGAAGTCCGCAATGGTAAACGAACACTGTTAACAGCTAAGAAGCTATCTTCTTCTGCACTATCGTTCGCTTCCTTCTACATTTATTCACTTCAAAATCGGATTTTTATTGTTCTGCGTGTCTCATTAAATTCTTTAATAATATTTTTTATTTTTTTTATCTTATCATATTACTAATTTGTATTTTGTCCAGAAATATTAAAATCTATTTAAAAAAAATGACTTCTGCATTCTCACAAGAAAAAAATTTATCTGAGTATTTTATATTTTTTTAGCTAGTTTTTTTGACACTTTGAATGTATTTCTCCCTGTCTAGTTTATTTGTTTATCATGTTTTTGACTTTTTGCGACACATTGGTTCTGCCACCACCGGGCCTAATTAACTTTCTGTTACACTTGCATTTTAGATATTAAAAATTTTGTATGAGAGGGACACCAACTTCTTATGATCGCTTTGGTGCCTCTCATTTTGACCATGTTTATCACATAATTGAATCTTAACTAACTTTTAAAAAAATTATACATTAAGTTTAGGTTGTACTTTTTTTATATTAAATTGAAATTTTCTTCTATTTCATTATTATTATTATTATTATTATTATTATTATAATTATCGTTATTTTTTAAAATTCAAACTTATCATACTTAATGCTAATTTTCGTATTATTAACGTGTTCTTTTTACGTGAGTAAATGAAATTGTAAATATAATTTGATCTAATAACAAAAAATTTAAAATATATTGCTATAAGAAAATTTTATTTTACCATTACATGTCTATTTTCCGCTTTATTAAATTATTTAGAAAATTAGTTTTGTTCCTTTTTATTAATTAAGCTAACAATTCAGAAAGTTATTTTTTAATATTGCATTATCCTTTTATGCATGTGTTAATCAAAACTATTTTTTATTAATTCGGTTACGAACTTTAGTATGTATATTAGAGTTGTGAAATGACTTTATATAAATTTGATGGATATTTTTAAATAAATCGAATTTTTAAGTTTGATATAACCTTTTGTCTAATTTAACACTAATTGAGAAAAGTTAAAGACATTAACGAGTAATTAATTGGAATGTCACAAATAAGAATAATGTAAGTGAAAATAATATAATAATTAAAAAATTATTAAAAATATAAACACATTAAAAAAATCGTAAATGATGTTTTCTAACTTAATATCTTAAAATGTTATTTCATGTTTCAATTATTCAATTCTCAAAATGGATAGTACAATAAGAAGAAGATGAAGTAGCAAATACATTAAAAATAACACCAAATGAAGTCTATGATCACCCTATCCTTAACCTTTGGAAAAGTACACAAAAAGGAAAGTCAACCCCATTGACTTGCATACAGTGGATAAGGGAATGCCATATTTTCCTTTCCCAAATAACCCTTTCAAAAATGGCCAGGAGCACACAACCAAATATGAACAACTTAGCACTTCCGCCACACCAGATCCATCACCATTTCCAACTTGTCGTTGCCATCCCAAACACTTGGTAACCAGTGCTGTGAGTTGAATAAGCAAAATAGTTGTGCCAGACACAAACATTGGAGTCTTGTCGAAAATGAATCTACCATTGTTTTCATTAGCCTTCTCATTGGATGATGGTTGTTCTTTTTTTGTTATCTCAAACACAGTGTCAGATATTCCTAATCGCTTGAAGAGGATGTCCAAAAATCCAAAATACCAAGCACTCGTTGTGGTTATCCTTGCCATTCTTTGAACGTTCCACCATGTTCGAATTGATAACCCTGTTCCCAAATACTCCACAAGAGTAGTTAGTTACATTGTAAACCACAAACAAAGTGGTAGGAGCCCATTGTCCAAGTTCCTGCAGAACCATCATTTAAGCACCATTGAAACAGTGAAAAATGTTTACATTGAGTAAGTTAATATTGGATATGAAGAAATATATTTTGAATTTATGTGCGTATCCCTGATACTATAGAGTTTGAAATTTGCATGTGTTCTAAGTTCATACCTTGGGCAAGAAAGTAGAGTTGTTGATGATGCAATAGGCAGGGAGAAGAGTGTAGCATAATTCAGGAACAGGTCTTAAGCCCCAACTGAGGCACCAAAGATAGCCCAAGCACTCTCTGAATTGGAGCTTACCAAATAGGGTTCCAAAAATTGGACAGTGGTTGCTGAAGAGAATAGCAAGCAAGCCTGAAACCCATCGCTTTTGTTGACCCATTAGACTTGGGATATCTTGAGGTGAGCAACCCATGAAGGGTATATGGTCTGGTGAACACAGTTCAGATCTCCAACCTTTTGTGTGGATTTTCAGCCCAGTAAGCATATCTTCTGATGTTGATCCATACACCCAACCCACCTAACACTCTCAATGCACAAAATTAATACCAATGACAAAAAAAAAAGTTAAGAGTACATTTTTTCAAGAACAAAGTTAACTTTTTTGTTGTTGTTTTGATGAATACTCTTTTTCTCTTTGCTTACCTCTTTACCCCAACCAGTGCCGTATTCATATTCACAACTAACAACTTCTTTGGCTGCGTCAACATATTTGCATAAATTATTATTAGGAGCAACTGTATTTCCTTCCAAAGCTTTAGTAGCTGATTCCACAAACCCCTTTGAATTTCCAAATATTCTTTTCTTTTCTGAGAATTTCCTTGCACAAATGTTTATATTGTAACATGGTACATCAGATAAATATAATTTCAAAAACTGAAAGTTTCTTATTTTGAAACCGAGAATGGGTATAACAGATTTAGACTAAAAGGTATTGCAATAATATATGATGTACCTTAATTATGGTTGGATGATTACCAATCTGTGTATTTGAGAAGATGGCAAATTCTCCTACAAGCGGAATCGAATTTTGTGCTGCATTCGTGATTTTACGAATAAGGTCCTCATACTCCTTCTGCAAACAAAACAAGACAAAAGGGATAATAAGATTCACTTCCATTTTCTTCTTAATAAAATTAAAATTTGATTATGTTTTTTATTTCTAAAATTTGCACAAATTTTAATTTTATCTTTTTAAATTAAAAACTAAATTATTTTTATTTTTCAAAATTGAAAAACAAAAATTTCAAAATTAACAAAAATAAAAATCAGTCCATAAACATTTAATTTTAAGGTCTAAAATCCTAAAATTTAAATTATAAAAATTAAACACTGAAAAAAAAAGCAATTTCTCAAATTTAGTGTTGAAAAAAAAATATATTTTTTTAATTTTGAGGACAAAAAGAGATAATTTTTTTAAAAAAAATAGAGACCAAAATAAAAAATATCTTAAATTTTCGAACTAAAAGCATAATTATGTACCTAAATTTATATATATATATATATATATATATATATATATAATTTAAAAAACATAAAAGATCATGAAGTTTTTAAAAAATAAATAATGCTTTCTTTAACTTTTATGAAAATAATTCTATAAAAATGAAAATATGAATTATTGTATTAGAGTACAGAAATGATATTTTTACTAAGAATCATACAATTTTAAAAATAATTCTTTTTTAATATTATAATAATAATTTTAATTTATTTTTATTTATATTAAATTATTTTATAATTATTATATTAATAAATATAGGTTGTGTCGAAGGTTCTAAGTTATTTGGGATGTGAAAATATCACTTCTCATTATAGTATGTATAATCATGATTGATGTTTTTTATGACTAGACCATCTTTTCCTTGTAAACCTGACCGATAGACAATTTTTTCTCTCCTTTACATCTAATATACAACTTCATTTAATAGTATTATAATAATAGACATAAAAATTTAAAATCTTAAAATACAATTTTCGTGTCCGTATAGTCCTCTGGCAAATGACAGAACTTGCGTGTGTCCCATCTCTTGGCTTAAAGCTTCCTTTGGATATAATTTGCAGCTTTAACATTGACATTATGCAAATGCCCGCAAATTGCAAGTTGCAAAATGGATCTTGTTTTATGTGGAACGGTTTGGGTTAAGTTCAAAAGTGCTTGACTTTGTTAAGCATTGAACTTGTCTTTTATATTTGAATGATTAGAACTGATCAAGACTTGATCAAAGAAAAGAGAAAAGAGTATATATGTACCCAAAATCTATTCACACACCGTAGATAGTACAAGCTGTGGAATTTGACAAGAACTTGTTATAAACATAAATAGTAAAAAGTACTTTTAATTAGTTAGGTTTTGTAAAATCCTTAAATTTAATTATTCTTCAAAACCGATGCTTCACCCAAGTTTTATCATAAAGAGGAAGAGTATTTTCATTCGCCATTTTCAACGAATCAATGGAAAATTCAGAGAGTAATACTTATATGTTGTTGCTGTTATATATGTATCCTGGCAATGAAGGCTCTGAGGTTGTTATGTCAAACTAAACTACGTAGCAATTTTTCATGATTTCAGGTTTGGAGGTTCAAAATGGAGTTCATTATAAAATAATATGAAATTAAATTGAGAAATTGAAAGTTGATCTAAATGAAATAAAATTTTAAAATAAATAAAATAAAATAGAAAAATTAGTTAAAAATAAATAGTGAATGACATGCATGCCATATTTATTAGAGAAGTTACATTGGAAATTCAAAATTTTCAAATTATCATAAGATTTCAGTTTTTTTGTTTCATAAATACCCTATTCATTTAAAAATATTATGTCATCATCTCCTTTCACATTGTACATATATTTTAAATTTTTTTAATATTATAAACTATGAAAAAAAATGTATTTTTTGAAAATATCCTTATTATAATTATAAGTTACTCTATATATTGTTACCCTCCAGATACACCCTTTACGTCCTCTTCCTGTCAGATACATGGTTTTGTCATTGGGTCGATCTCACTAGTCACAAACTCAAGCCAGAATATTAGGTTTGAATAATTTTATTTCAATTTTAATATATAATTTATTTTATTTTATATTTATTAAATTCTTTCTTACAATATGTATTTTAATAAATAATAAATTTTTGTCTAAGTCTTTTTTAAAACAATATTACATTCTCAAATATATAAAAATATTGTATTTAAGAATTCATGGATATCGATTAAATAAATTATTGTATTATAGTATATAAGTGCTTGTAGTCCTATTTTTTGAATCGATTTTATAATAATTGGAACTATTAAAAAATTTTCTACAAGATGAGAGAATGTTAAGAAATCTAATATAAACTAGAAATTATAATATATAAATAAATAAAATTCTCCTCTTGTTTTTATAAATTTGAGTTAGGTATAATAAATTGTTTTTATAAGGTTGGATGCATCCTAATGTTTTGGTAAATGTAGTTACTGCCAACTTCAAACCTAACATAACAATGCTGTTCACTTGAATCTCATGTGATCAACATAACACAAAATTATTTGGTGCTTTCATCAAAATTTGGATTATTAATTTGATGTGAAAATCACAATACAATGGAAAAAACATCATCAAATGATGAGCATCAAACACTAAGATACTCATGAGTTGTTTACTGTGTTTGTTTGAATAATTTTTTTTGACAGAAGAAGAATGAAATAATTACTTATTTAAAGTTAAAATTAGTTTATATATATATATATATATATAGAGAGAGAGAGAGAGAGAGGTGTTAATTTGCATAAATTATTTTTATCAATTGTTTTAAAAGATAAATTTTAAATCATAATTTATTTTAGTTTATAAAGAAATTTATATTTCATGTTTCTTCCTTCTCAGAATATTTATGAGGAGCTTTTCATGAAGCAATTGCCTGCTGATGTGACTGACCATAACGCGACATAATTGCAAGGTTTTTGTACAAAGAAAAACAATTTCAAAGTTTTAAATTATTAAAACTATTATTATATAAAAGTAAATACTTTTATCTAATGTAGACACATACTAGTCTAATTAATGTCATGATACGTTTTAGTTTAAAAAATTAAATACATAAGTTTTAGATTGCATGTATGTTGTTTACGTTTTGATATTTGAAATAATTATTTATTTTTTAATTTGTACGTAGTATATACTATTTTCTTTTAATCAATAGTAGAATCCGTTCATTAAATTTGTTATAGCATTGCTAATCTTTGGTAAAATTTTATCGACTTTAATTCTAAAAAAACTTTCTTCCACATAAATTAATAAGTATTGCATGAAATGTTAAGTGTTCATATTTAAGTAATATGTAATTAGAAAAAAAAACTTATATAAAATGTTCAAAAGGGGAATCCTTGCTAACTCTTATAATTTTTTTTTTCATTAATAAAACTGTAAGACTGTAGTTTGTTCTTATTACCTACTTTTCCTGCTGCCAACTTAGGATATGCAAGAAATGATATTTGGTAAACAAATTATAACTGGATAATTTTGTTGTAATCAGAAATATTTTGAAGTGTAAAGATGAAACATCAAAAGTGCTTTCTTCTTAGCCATTAAAGCCTCTGTGAAAGGAGCTGATATGCTTGCTTGAATATGAACTATACAAATAAAATAGTGATGAAGGTATGGTAAAAAATTTCAAGATTAATCCATGAATATTGTACTGGCAGGAGCAACAGAAAGTGATGTCATTCTCCAAATTAATTTAGCAACTTCCATTCATTAACAACCATTAGAAAATAAGCACATGATAGAGAATTTGAGAACAATGTCTACAGAAAAATCTAGTCATGAACTGACAATGTTACTTCTACAAAAATGCACAAAGACTAATGCAAACACTGCTGACTTGCAAATGGTGGATAAGGGAATCCCGTATTTTCCTCTGCCAAACAGCCCTTTCAAATATGGCCAGTAGCAGAGTATCAGATATGTACTAGAAATGAACTCCCCTAGTCCACTCCCATTTCCACTGCGAGTTGGTTGCGACCCCAAAAACATTATCAACATGGCTGTCAAATGCACCAACAAAATGGTCGTGCCTACCACAAAAACTGGAGACTCATCGAACGTGAACCTTCCAGCATCTTCATTGTTTCCATCAGCATCAGAAGTTGATTGTTTCTTGTCTGTTATATCAAAGACAGTATCTGAAATCCCTGATAGCTGAAGCATAGCACTAAAAAATCCAACAAACAATGCAGTCGTGGTTCGCATTACACACATTCTCTGATTGTTCCACCAATGTGTTATTGACAACCCAATTGTAAGGTACTCTAGTAGAGTATATATATTGTAAATCACAAAAAGAGAAATTGCAGTCCAAAGGCCAAGTCCCTGGAACAAAAAAGAAGTTGAGAATCCTTTGTATCGTCTAGTATAGCATATAATATAACCTTGCCATTAAAACTGGATTAGAATTTGAATCAAACCTTAGGAAAGATACTGGTGTTGGCAATCATGCAATGTGCAAGTAGAGCAACATAGCAAACTAGGAATAGAGCACGCAGTCCCCAGGTGGTAATCCAAAAATAAGACAAGCCCGCCCTGAATTGGATCTTGCCAAAGAGCATGCCCATAAGAGGAGAATGCTTTCCAAAGAAGACTACAGCGAGGCCTGATGCCCATCTCTTTTTTTGTATCATTGTAGAGATTAATCCTCTAGGAGTACAGCCTTGGAAGGCAATTAAATCTGGGGTACAACACTCTGATCTCCAACCTCTTCTTTGAATATTCAACCCTGTTGGTACATCTTCTGAGATTGATCCGTACAACCAGCCCAACTACAGTTCCCAAAATTGTCAAAGCTAATTAACAAAACTTCATTTTTGCAGAAACTGGTTCATTATTTTCTAAAAAATACTTTTTTTTTTTCTCTGTTCTGTACCTGTTTACCCCAGAAAGTGTCATATTCATATTCACAGTTAGCAACTTGGGTTGCTGCCTCAATAAAGTTGGAAGGAGTAATATCATTAGCAGAATATGCAGTCCCTCCCAAAGCTTGGGCTGCTGATTTGATGAACTCCTTTGAACTTCCAAATTGTTGTATTAATATCTTGTCGTCTAATTTTCCTGCAGAAAATACAAACTACACATGAATTATTACTGTATATTATTTTTTATTATTTACATTAATTTTTTAAATATCAATAAACCAAAATTTTATTTATATTTGTCTTACTAATGTAATGTGTATATAAGAGTTGTATAATAAGAACTTTCAATCCCATGTAAATTTTGAAATATAATATTGACTTAGAAAATTTTGTGTATTTGGGTAAGAGAAGGACCTTTTATCCCGTTTTCAATTTCATCAGGATAAAGACCATAAATAGCGTTTCTTCTATGGAAGGTGTTTGTTCCTACATAGAAAGGTCCTTGAAGTCCAGCCATGCCCCGTATTATGTACTGCATAAGACAAAATAAATAAAAAATGTTAGTTTGCAAAGCTCCTAGCTTCATAAATTTCACTAGTGAAGAGAAAACTTAGAACTTGATTTAAAGCTCAAAAGCACCTCAAATGCAACCACCCACTGATTTCCAAAAGGGTCATCTTTTATTCCATCGTAGAATTGTTGGAAACATTGAACGAAAGCAACTTCTTTTCCTCTTTGTGAGTCCATCAAAATGCACAGAGCGTGTAGAACAATCCTGGGATTATTCACAACCATGTCACAGTCTACGTTCAACATAAAGGGAGCATTGGTCATCAATCCAGAGACTCTTGTCTGCACGTATCAGTTACTATTTTAAATTAAATTTGTGGTTAACTTGAAAGAATGAAAATTAAAAATCCATGAAGTGTATACATCAGTTAACAAACTTACCAACACGTTCATAGCTCCTGCTTTGTAATCGTGATGGTGCTGTGGCCTCTTCTCTCTGGATACATAGATTAAGTCAGGTAACCCATCAAAAATACCTTGCTTGTTTTCCACTATAACCTGTTCATACGTAATGTAAAAATAAGTGTTTTCTTGTTCTTTAAACGGGCAACTACCAAAACTTCGACAGGAACAAAAAATTAGAAACATGGTCGTATAATGGAAGATTTACTTTTCCTGTTTATAATTTGACTGTCTACAAACTCTGGAAGCAAGAAATAAATAGAAAAGAAGTAAATGGGTATAAATGGTAATATAAATAGATTTATGGGAAGATAACACTTCTGACATGTTCGTATGTTAGAATTTGGAGGTCCCCAAAATATTTTGTGGAATATCACTTATGCTTGTTTCAGTTTCTTATAATAATAATTGTCAAGAAGTTGTTTCATTTTTATATATTTGTGTTTAATTCCTGTGCAGTCTCAACCAATTAAGAATCATGATATCTCTGTCACCTTAACTATGCTTGGATGATTTTTTGGTTCTATATTTGAGAAAACCGCATATTCTCCATCAAGTTGGAATGGTACTGCTTTGCGTGTCACCTTTTCAACTTTTTGGCTTAGATTGTCATACATATCCTGCAAAATACAAAAGACAGAAAATTGTGGAGTTCATTGTCAGAGTATTTGGAAGTTCAAATGCCTTATACATATACTAATTTCATTTGCCCTCATATTAGGTGTTTATCAAATTATTATGCCAGTTAATTTAGGAGATAGGAGACTATTTTGGAATGTTAATAATGCAGGGCAAGGTTTTCTTACATACCTTCATTTGTAACCATTCTTGTCTGAAGTCAAGCGAGTCTTCATTTTTGTTTGTGGTAACATCAGAAAAGTATCTGAAGGGTGCTCTCATTTGTACGTTATACTTCTTACAGAAAGGAACCCAAAGCTTAGCAAATTTGGAGGCTTCCACAAGGGCATAGAAAGTAAGGGGGGAACAGCCATCATCAGAAACATAGCAAGCTAGCATATTAGCAGGATAATCAAGAGCTAGAAGAGATAAAACAGTGTTGACTGTGATGATGGGGGGTTCAAGTACAGGGTCTGCTGTTGTAACAAGCAAGTCCACTGATGGAAGCTCTTGTACCCTATTGAGATTAAAAAGGTTAATGTAAAAGCACATGTATAATAATCACATGGACACCACTAAAAAGCAAGAACAAGCATTTAACAACTAGAAACTTTTGGAAGTACTAGTAGAACAAGGGAAACAAATTCATTGGAATAGAAGACCAGAATCAAAACAGAAAGCATCAATTGCTTTATGTTGTTGTACATACCTTTGCAAGAGACGATCTGGGTGGGTTATGGTTACTGCAGGACTCCACTTGGCGTTGAGAATGACAATCCAAGTGAAGGTGAACCAGGATTCGCATATGAAAGCAAGGAACCATGGGAAAGTGCAGGTGTTGGATGAGAAAACTCGGTTACTAAGGAGCAAAAGGAGGAGGAGTAAAATGAAGGTGTCCATCACTCTTTGAAATATACGTTTGGGCCAAAGTTTATCATAGAGAGGGAGGTCGTGTCCTTGGTTGGCCATTGACCAAATTGTAAGAGACGAGAACAGTTGTACTGTTACTTGTAGCCAAGAGGTTTGAGATTCCTCGCAGTGATATCTGCAGAATGGAAAAATCCTTTAACCTGTGGTGTGAGAGTATCTGATATATAGTTTCTACTCGCTATGTACGAGTACATATACGAGTACATATAAAACACTAGTTTACTAAGATATGTAAAATCTCTTAGGATGGGATATACACGATTGGGATTTTAGGCATTTTTATAGTTTTATTATTATTAAACTTAAAAAAAAAAATCAATGATATAAAATTCATTTCATATACGTATGATTTAGTCTTTCTTGCTATTATGTTATATCTAAATTGTGTAGGTATCTTTCAAAGTTTCACATAGTTTAAAGGAGGGAGTGATAAATTATTATTATAAATAAAGTGTATTAAGGGAGAGTTTGTAAATTTTTCCGTACAAGAATTGTACGAGAGAGTTTTTGCAAATTTGTGAGACTTTGGGTGAAGTAAGAATAAGTTATTGTGCCCAAAGTGTTTGGGTATCTTCTAAAGTCTGAGATTTTGGATGAGGAGAATATGTAATTGTGTTCAAAGTGCGTGGGTATTCTCCAAAGTCTCACAGTCTTATGTTGGATTAATGTGAGACTTCGGATGGATGAAAAAGATATTGTTGTGCAAAAAATAGTCTCAAATCGGATTAATGTGAGACTTTGGATGAATGAAAAATATATTGTTGTGTCTAAATTGTGTGGATATCCTCTAAAGTTCTACATTGGGTAGTTTGAAGAAGGAAGTGATAGACTACTATAAATAAGGGAATGAGTGACAGTTTTAGTCTACTCACCACAATCATATTAGTTTATAAATGTATTGGGGACTGGGTAATTATGTGTCAAAAGAGGATTTGCAATTGTATGAGAGGATTTGTATCTACTCACCACAATCATACTAGTCTTTGGGTGTATTGGGGACTTGAGTTACTTACGACAATCATACTAGTCTTTGGGTGTATTAGGGACTTGAATTACTTACGACAATCATACTAGTCTTTGGATGTATTGGAGACTTGTGTAGTTATATGTTAATCTTTGGGTGTATTGGGGACTTGAGTTATTTACGACAATCATACTAGTTTTTTAGTGTATTAGAGACTTAGTTATATGTTAAGAGAAGATTTGTAATTTTTCCGTCTAAAAATTATATAAGAGAATTTATAATTTTTTTCGTACAAAAATTATATAAAAGAGTAAAAATTGTATGAGAAAAATTATTAAATAACTATTAAGTATATTAATGGATGTAGAAAAGAAACGATGAACCAGATTAATTTCTGAATTTATTTCTTTATGGTTAATGAATGTAGACAACAAATGTAAAACAATATTAATTTCTGAATTTTTATTTTTATTTTTGTTTTTCTTAAAGCTGAAAATTTATTTTCCCCGCTAATAACGAACACAATACGATAGCAATTTCAACTAGCACAACGTTTCTACTCCTTCCTGTTCACATCTTTCAATCCTCTCCTTGCTCGTGATTCTGTCATCTCGTGGCCTCTAATCCCGACATAACCGTTATCCACCAAATTCCTGGGGTCCGAGCCGACGAACATCTCAATCCTATCAATGAAGACACTGGAGAGACACTATGTCAGATAAATTCCTGGCGAGTAACTCAACACAATGATGAAAGGGAAGGACCTACTTCGAAATACTGTTTATGGCACCAAACAGGTTTCCTTCATTCAATTTAATTTCTTTTATTTGTGTTTAAATTTATGTTAGATTATAAATCATCCAATGTAAAATTACACCAAAAATAGGTGAAAAATATGAAATTTTTTTCATATCTTCAATTTAAAAGAAAATATTTTATTAAAAAATAGTTTATTGGTGAAGTTTTTGTCCCTTGTCAAAAAAATAATGGATTGCTGATGTCACTGACATATAATTACATATAACATTAAAAACAATAAAAAGACGAATCTAGAAGAGGATAGAGAACATGTCGCATCCATTTCAAAATCCAATCTATAATTGGTCGATACAGATGTTTGTTTCTCTAGAAATCACTATTTTCTCGGTTGGGGTGGGTCTAAGAGACAATGATTGAAATGACGTCAAATAAAATTTTTTAAATAAGAAATCAATGTATAAAAATTAATTATTATATAAAAATAAAAATATTATATATTAATATTATTAATTAAATTTAAATTTTAAAAAAATACTTTTTTTTATAAAATAGATTTATAATTTTATTTTTATCTTTTAAATTAAACCTTAATATTTTTTTCATTTCTTAACACCAACTTAAAATATCATAAAATATTAAAATAATTAATTAATTTATAATAAATGAAAAATTTAATATCAATATTTTATATTTTATTATATATATTAATTATTATAATAATAAAAAATGAATTTATTTATTATTTTTACTTTATAAAAAATTATTATAAAATATTTCTTTTATTTTTTAATTTTTTAGAAAGAAAATAAAAAACTAAAAGAATAAAAAATAATTTTTATATTATAAAGATAAAATTATAAAAATAAATAAATTTTAAAATTAAAAAAATTCATTTTTTACAGTGACATCATGAAGAAAATATATGATCCTTAATAAATAATAAAAATAAAATATAAAAAAATAAGTGTCTAATAGAATAAATTATAATGAAAAAATGAGAAAAAAAATAGTATAAAATAAATATGATATTTATTAAAAATAAAAAAATAAATTTTATATTATATTTATAAAATAATTTTATTTACTTTTTAGAAAAATAATAGATATAAAGTTGATTTGAGGGAGAGGAGCGTGGTTCTGGTGGTCCCGCCTCTGGTTGAAACATTTAATGCATAATATTTGTACGTTTCTGAATTGGTCTTTGACATGTTATCTTACCTGAGTACCCAGAGTGAAGGACACTGCATTGCTTTTAAATGATTTGGACAATGCTGAATCAAAACACGGTGTAAAATGTACCAAAACCAGAATCTTCTAGGTCAGTTACAGTCATGTTCAAAAGTGAATTTAATGAAGAGGAATACAAGGTTACCTAGATTAAGAGAACAATTGATCAAAAATAAATGAAAATTTTGAAATTGATTTAATTAATTTAAAATAGTAAAAATATATTAATTAAATAATTTAATAAATTATTAATTATTCTTATTTAAAATTTAATAAAAATAAATACGAATTAAAATAAAAATAATTAAATTTGAAGTAATTAATTTTACAAATTTTAAAATATTAAAAATTCTGTAAAAATGAATTTTAAATTATTTAAATAATTAATTACATGTACAAATTTTTATTTCACATACTAATTAAAAATTTAAATATAATAAAAAATTCATAATAAAAAAAAACTATACATTACATTATTAAAAAAACTATTAATAATTTATACTATAACATTAATATATTTAAGTTTACATCTTTCAAAATCTCACCACATGTTTTATTTACACAGTACGCCTAAATTATAATTCATGACTAAAATCAAAATTAAAGCATAATTGATTGGCACACAATGATATATACATAGTTATTAATTGAGTAAAAAAAATTATATGAAAGATTATAAACTATGGGGTGAAAATTGATGTACATAGAAATTAAATAATATGTATTCAACTATAGCATGAACAATAACAAAGTGGTACTAGTTTTTCATACCTTTCTAGTCTTAGAAGAAGATAAATATAAAGCAATTAGATACAATAATCATTATAATTTAAAAGTTAAGGAGAAATGGTTAGTATCAATAATTAAATTGTCATACATATTCAATGAGAGTAATAATTACATGTCAAGTTTATGGAACACTTAATTATTTTGTTTACACTTAATGAAACAACTTTATATGTGGGATTGAAAAGATGGATCACCATCCTCTCAGAATAACTTAATATATTTAAGTTATTGCTATTTTAAATAATTTGCATCATATAATTTGTTAATGTTAAATTTAAAACCTTTTTTTTATGGTACCCTCTTTAAAAAATAATTATATATATAAAATTGACCTACTTTTATAAAAAAAAAACAATTATTATATTATCATGGGAGCACAATAAAAACATAATACCAACTGAAAATTCAAGTCATCATCAACTAATAACATTACTTTCTACAGAAGTGCACAAAGAGAAATGCAAAGATCCCTGACTTGCATATGGTGGACAGGGGAATCCCATATTTTCCTCTGCCAAACAACCCTTTCAAATATGGAATGTAACACACTATGAGATACATGCTAGAGATGAACTCCCCTAGTCCACACCCATCTCCACCATGAGTTGGCTGCAACTCCAAAATCTTTACCAACATGGCTGTCAAATTCACCAACAAAATGGTCGTGCCAACAACAAAAACTGGGGACTCGTCGAACATGAACCTACCAGCATCTTCATTGTTCCCACCAGCATCAGAAGTTGGGGGTTCCTTTTCTGTTATTTCAAAGACAGTGTCAGATATCCCTGATAGCTTAAGCATGGCACTCAAAAACCCAATAAACCATGCAGTTGTGGTTCTTATTATGCTCATTCTCTGATTATTCCACCAATTTCGAACCGACAACCCAATTTTAAGGTACTCTAAAAGAGTGTATACGTTGTAAATCACCAAAAGAGCAATTGGAATCCATAGACCAGGTCCCTGGAATAAAAAGAATGAGTATATATGTATAAGTAAGATTCTAAGAATCCTTTGTAGAGTGAATAGTATAACCTTGGCAATAAAATTGGATCTAAGATCTAACCTTAGGAAAGATATTGGTATTGGTAAGTATACAATATGTTGGTAGGGCAGCATAACAAACTTCAAATACACCACGCAAGCCCCAATTGGTAAGCCAAAAATAAGACAAGCCTGCCCTGAATTGGATCTTACCAAAGAGCATGCCCATAAGAGGAGAATGCTTTCCAAAGAAGACTACAGTGAGGCCTGATGCCCATCTCTTTTGTTGGATCATTGTAGAGAGTAATCCTCTTGGAGCACACCCTGAGAATGCAATTGGATCTGGGGTACAACACTCTGATCTCCAACCTCTTCTGTGAATGTTCAGCCCTGTTGGTACATCTTCTGAGATTGATCCGTACAACCAGCCAATCTGAAGTTCCCAAAATCCTCAAAGCTGGTTAAGAAATTTTTCATTTTACAGAGATAAAATAAGTTTGAAAAATAAATTTGCTTAGTTTGTATACCTTTTTACCCCAGCAAGTACCACGTTCATAATCACATTCAGCAACTTTAATTGCTGCCTCAACAGAATCTGAAGGACTAATATCATTAGAAGAGTATGTTTTCCCATCAAAAGCAAGATCTGCTGATTTTACAAACTCCTTTGAACTTCCAAATTGTTGTATTAATATCTTTTCACCTAACTTTCCTTCTAAAGATATAAAATAGAGAAAAAAAATTATGTATATCAGAATAAACTATTAATAAGCACAATGTAATTAGCTTTTTATGTAGGAGTACATTGGAAAATTTGGAACATGAAGATGTATGATGAATGAGGAATTTCGTGTGTATTTATGAGAGGGGAAGACCTTTTCTGCCACTTTCGATTATTTCATCAGGATAAAGACCGTAAATAGCATTTCTTCTATGGAATGCGTTAGTTCCTGCATAGTAAGGTCCTTGAAGTCCTGCCATGCCCCGTATTACGTACTGCATTAGATATCAAACAAGAAAATGTTGGTACACAAAGATTCTTAGTCGATAAAATTTAATTGTGAAGAGAATGCTTCGAGCTTCATTGAGAAAACACCTCGAATGCAGTCACCCACTGATTTCCAAAAGGGTCATCTTTTATTCCATCGTAGAATTGCTGGAAACATTGAACAAAAGCAACGTCTTTTCCACTATTGGAATCAATCAAAATGCACATACCATGCTGGACAATCGTGGGATTGTTCACGAACATGTCACAGTCCAAGTTCAACATAAAGGGGGCATTGGTCATCAATCCAGAGACTCTTGTCTGCACATATTAAGAATGATATGAGGAGGAATATGTGAGTCATAAATTTTCAAAATAACTTGAGTTTGGTCATTAACATGTAACCTGTAATCTGAGTAAAAAACTTACCAACACATTCATAGCTCCAGCTTTGTAATTATGTGTTTGGTGTTGCTTCTTCTCTCTAGATACGTATATTAAGTGAGGCAATCCATCAGAAATACCATCCTTATTCTCCAATATAACCTGCACACGCACATTGTAAATAAGTCTCTTTATTTGCTTTCTCGTTCCTTTTTCATGCGCATGTACAGCCGTAACTGTGGCACAAAGAAATTAGATTTATATGAACAGATAAACATGTTAGAGTTATAAATAGTTATTGCTTATAGTTTTGGAATAAAAAAAAATGAAGAGAAGTAGAAATTTGATAAACAAAAGATGAACAGTGTTACATGTATTTAAAACATTTTATGAGAATTCAATACAACTATGAAACATGAATTTATATTTACATATAAGTATGTATAAGCATTATTTTTTATGAACCAAACTTGAATTTTGTTCTCTATATGAATGATTTCAAGAAAAGAACGGGATTGATGATAGCTATTTGGATTTTAGTAATAATTTATGTTAGTTATTTGGATTTTTTTATGAAGTTTTATATTGTATCATGTTAGATGAATGAATATATTTTACTGCTATTTTAGTTACCTTAATTATGGTTGGATGAATTCTTTGCTCTGTATTAGAGAAAACTGCGAATTCTCCATCAAGTTGCAGTGGAATTTGTTTACTGGTCACGTGTTGAATTTTTCGGCTAAGATTGTCATACATATCCTGTAAGAACAAAAGATTTTGCGGCTCATGGTTCAGTCCAGGGACTTGGAAGGTTGAAATTTCTAGGATATGGATGTCTCATCATCCATCATAGAGAAATATTATTGTATACTTTACCTTCATTCGTGACCATTCTTGCTTGAATTCTAGTGAGTGTTCACTCTTGGTAGTGGCAACATTGGAGAAGTATCTGAAGGGTGCTCTTATTTGTATTTTGTACTTCTTACAGAAAGGTACCCAAAACATAGCAAATTTGGAGGCTTGAAGAAGGGCATAGAAGGTAAAAGGGGAACAACCATCATCAGAAACATAGCAAGCTAGCTTGTTAGTAGGATAATCAAGTGCTAGAAGAGACAACACAGTGTTGGCTGTGATGATGGGTGGTTCAAGCACAGGGTCTGCTGTTGTCACAAACAAATCTACTCGTGGAAGTTCAGGTACCCTGTTGGTGAAGTGTAAAAGTTCATGCATATACATATAAGTATTTAATATTAGTAAGGTATTATTATGACTTCTGCTGTCATCTGTTACTAGGACTAGAAGTTTAGCTTAGTGTAACATACCTTAGCAAGAGACGATCTAGGTGGGTTATGGTCACTGCAGGACTCCACTTGGAGTTGAGAATCACAATCCAAGTGAAGGTGAACCAAGATTCGCATATGAAAGCAAGGAACCATGGGATGGTGAAGTTGTTGGATGAGAAAACACGGTAACTAAGAAGCAAGAGAAGGAGGAGTAGAATGAAGCTGTCCATTACTCTTTGAAATGGGTGATTGAGCCAAACTTTTTCATAGAGAGGGAGATCATGTTCTTGGTTGGCCATCGAGCAAGGTGCAAGAGACTAGAGCAACCTTTGCACTTTCTTCGGTGAATTCTCTTCACGACTTCGGTGTCTTTTGTTTACTGATATAATATTTAATATAAAAAGCTTGAATAAAATTCTGCTCAGGGATTAAAACCTGTACATCAGCGTGAAAGAAGGGAACTTTCGTCAATCAAGAAATGGGTGACAAAGTTTCAATCAAGATAGGGACTTTCACCAATCGAAAGCCAACTTTCATGTTCAAAGTTTTGTGTCGTTTGAAGATTCTGTAATAAGCTTACTTCATCTTAGATTGTGACAATTATTCACAAAGACGATATACGAATAGTAAGATGAAGAACTAGAATTTTATATGCAAGGTTTGACAAAATCCCATTGGGATTGATAACATAGATACAGTCAACAAAGGAAGTGCACCAATTGGGTTATTAGTCTGTCTCTGTTTTTACTCTGATTTTTTATTTTATTTTGATGTGAATTGCTTTCGTACTGAATAATTCTTCTTTCGTCTGACACAAATTGGTATTGCGGTGGAAGGAAAGAGATGATCAAAGGAATAGGGGAAATAAATAGAGCATAAACAATTGATAAAAGTGGTCAATTTATCGAGTTAAAAATAAATAAATTTTGTAATTAAAAGAAAAACAAATAAAGTATTTCAGTTTGGTTTTGGACTTCATTACCCTGTATAAGTCCAGTTTTTCCTTGGATAAAAATGAGACAGGATTGAGTGATAACTATGGACAACGAATTTTAAATTATTCTATTAATGGATTTGTAGTAGTCGAGCAATTGTTATTTTCCACATAGTTGAGCAATCGTTATTTTCGAGCAAATGTAATGTCTGAGAGTCTTGTTTTTTAATAATGTTGGTCAAATTCCATGATAGGTTTTTTCTTTCAAAAACTTTTTTATGGGTATTTTATATATATTTTTTAAATAATCATAAATTTTTTTAGAATGATTTAGGATTATGATTTTGAGAATAATTGAAATATCTACTTATAAACATAATTTTATTTTTATCTTTTTTTAATTTTAGTTGGATGGGATGGGATTTTTAAGTAGGGAATCACAGTTTTTTATAAATCCAAATTTTCAATATATGATTATAGTTTTACAATTAATACGTTATAACTTTTATTATCAAAAATTGAAATATTAACTTGTGAAAAATTTTATTCTTTAGTTGTTTTTACAAGAACTAAACTTAATACCATTTATAAGAATAATTAGAATTTTGTATATGAATATTTTTAATATTTTTAATATAGTTTATATGAGTATATTCTTTTTTTATTCATATACTTTATATATATATAATTAAATATTAATTATATCTTAATCTTAAATTAAAATAATAATCTAATATTTTTTCCTTTTTTTCTTAAGAAATAATATATAATTATTTCAATTTATTTCTAACTCAAAGATAATTAAAAATAAAAATAATTTATATAGATTTTCCTCCCTTAATTTATTAATATTAAATTATTAAATATTATAAAGTTTAACTAATAAAATAATTTATGTGAATTGTTGATGATAGCACAAAATAATGCAAAGACATAAGAATATTCAGAGAAAGTGAAGTCATTGTCAAGTTAGACAGAGACTTTGATTTGATAAACTCCTTTCAAGTTCCAAATTCTTGTTGTGTTCATATCTTTTCTACTAATTTCCACCTTCAACATCATAATAATGTATTACTGTTTTAAAATATCTGGCTACATATTCACCTTGGAGAGCAATTTCAAGTTACAACTTATTTTATGTTTAAGTAATTTCATGTAATATTTTTATTTCTAGTTACAAATAATTAGTTTTGCTTCTTTTATGTTTATTGTTAGATATTGTTTAGATATTATTTGATATTGTTAATATATTGTTAGATATTGGTAACCACAATATCAAACAATATCTTCTCGTTTATTCCGTTACTTTCGATTACTCTTTTAGTTGTATCTCTTTACTATAAATAGACCAACCTATGTGTGATTTATACACAAGGAAAATTAATTTCAAACCCTATTTTCTCTATATTCAACATGGTATCTAGAGCTTAAGGTTATCTTGAATTTTTTTCCGCCTTTTGTCCACTATTGGAGCGCCCCACCGCTACTAGAGCCGCCCCACTCGTCTCGGTAAACCGATCCTCCACATCGAAAAGAATTATCTTTGTCATTGAATTTTATTTGGTAGTGTGAAAGTGCATGTTTAGGAAAGTTCGGCAAGGAAAGACTTGGTATTTAAGTGTGTCCATTAGTGACCCACCTCTCTTTCCTGGGAACTTACCCGGTGTACTAGTTCACGTTATCGTCACCGCTGCTGCTGGAGCGAGCCACCGGGTCCGCCGTCGTCGAGAATTCGCCGGAGTTTCATTTTTTTTTACCGGTGACATATGATTTTGTTTGTCTCGGCCAGGTGACCACCGTGCCATTGAGATCACCACTATCGGAGTCGGGTTTGTTCTCCCGCTCTTCATGACTTCTTCCACTATTTCCAATTTTGTTAACGATTCTTTTGTGTCGACATCCCATCGTGATGACCGGCTCGCCCTCGCAAACAGAAAAAGGGCGTCCTAAGTGTGAACATTGTGGCAAGTTAGGTCACAAGATTAACAAGTGTTATACATTACATGGTCGTCCTCCTCGCTCCATCGTAGTTGTTCGGACAAATCTTTCCCCACCTTTATCTACAGGGGATCTTCCTTCTTCCGTTGCATCCGACATGTCTGCTATGTTCAACAAATTTCTCGAATGGTATAAGGATCAACAGTCTTCTAGTTCCACTATATCCGTCACACATACAAATACATATTTTCGTTGGTCCGACCCAATCATTTTCTCCTGGTCCTTGGGTTTTTGATTCAGGAGCCACTGATCATATTACTCGGTAACAAATCTTTGTTCTCCTCTTTATCCTCTCCTAACCATTTACCTTCATTACACTCGGCTGATGGCTCTAGAGTATCATCTCATGGTGTTGGAACGGTTAAACTTTTTCCTTCTTTAACCATTGATAATGTTCTTTATGTCCCCGGGTCTCCTTTTAACCTCGTTGTCCATCAGTCGTCTAACTCGTTCTCTTGATTGTGTTGTTACTTTTACCAACAATTCCGTGTGTTTACAGGACCGGAGTTCGAAACAGGTGATTGGCACAGGATGTGAGTCTCATGGTCTTTATTATCTCCGTCCCTCTACACATGTTAGTACAGCTTATGGAGTCTCCCTCTCTTCTTCATGCTCAGCTTAGGTCATCCAAGTCTTGCTAAGTTACGTAAACTTGTCCCCGCCTTGTCCAACTTATCTAGTTTGGCGTGTGAGTCATGTCAATTAGGCAAGCATAGTCGTACTTCCTTTCCTCGTAGTTTCACACGTGGTGCTTCGTCCCCTTTGCCGTGGTTCACTCGACATTTGGGGACCTAGCCGCGTTAAGTCTACTTTAGGTTTTCAATACTTTGTTACTTTCATTGATGATTATTCCGGATGCACTTGGTTATTTTTGATGAAAAATCGTTCTGAATTATTTCATATCTTTCAAACTTTTTTTAATGAAATTCAAACTCGGTTCGGTGTTTCTATTAGAGTTTTGCGTAGTGATAATGGCCGTGAATATCTTTCTCATTCTTTTAAACAATTCATGGCTTCTCACTGTATTTTGCATCAAACTTCTTGTGCTTATACACCTCAACAAAATGGTGTAGCTGAACGTAAAAATAGACATCTTATTGAAACAACTCGCACACTTTTAATTCATGGAGATGTTCCTCAACATTTTTGGGGTGATGCTCTTCTTACCGCATGTTATCTCATTAATCGCATGCCTTCTTCGATTTTAGATAATAAAATACCTCATTCCATTTTATTCCCTCATGAACCACTTCATCCTTTACCTCTAAAAGTTTTCGAGTCTACATGTTTTGTTCATAATTTCAGCTTCCGGTTTGGACAAACTTTCTCCTAAATCACATAAATGTGTTTTCTTAGGGTTTACAAGATCACAAAAAGGATACAAATGTTTTTCTCCTTCTCTTAACCGTTATTTTGTGTCAAAAGATGTCACCTTTGATGAGTTGTCTCTTTATTTTAAAAGTCAAACTTCACCTCTGTCTCCATCCAATCTTGTCAACACTCCTAATACATTTAATGTTCCCGTTGTTTGTGACCCTCTAACCGTGTCTTCTTCACCATTAGTTCTCGCTCCGCGATCGCCTTCTTCTTCACCATTAGTTCCTGCTCCGCAGTCGCCTTCTTCTCCACTCGCCTCTTCAGATTTATAGTTCTCGAAACCAATCACAACCACCACCATGTGACTCTACTCAAGTGCCAACTACTCTGTCTCCTCCGGATCCGACACATGAGTCCGACCTTCCCATTGCCCTTCGAAAAGGTATCCGTTCTACACGTAATCCCTCTCCCCATTATATTGCTATGAGTTATCATCGATCGTCATTACCTTTTTATACATGTCTTTCCTCTCTTTCTTCCGTGACCATTCCAAAACCGTCCGTGAAGCTTTAGCCCATCCTGGTTGGCATCAGTGCCATGTTAGATGAACTAAGTGCTCTTCATAATAGTGGAACTTGGGAATTGGTCTCGTTACCGTCTGGGAAATCTGTTGTTGGTTGCAGGTGGGTGTTTGCTATCAAAGTTGGACCTGATGGTACTATTGATCGCCTCAAAGCACGTCTTGTGGCCAAAGGTTATACTCAAATTTTTGGGTTGGATTATGGAGATACCTTTTCCCTCGTGGCAAAGATGACTTCGCTCGTTTATTTATCGTCATGGCCGCTTCTTCAACAATGGCCTCTTTATCAACTAGATGTTAAAAATGCTTTCCTCAATGGTGATTTGCAAGAAGAAATCTATATGGAGCAACCTCCTGGGTTTGTTGCTCGGGGGAGTCTTCTCGGGATGGTATGTCGTCTTCGCAAATCCCTATATGGCCTAAAACAGCCTCCTAGGGCCTGGTTTGGAAAGTTTAGCAAGGTTGTTCAACAATTTGGTATGACTCGGTGTGAAGCAGTATCACTCGTCTTTTATCGACACTCGAGTGCTGGATGTGTTTACTTGATAGTATATGTCGATGACATTGTTCTTACAGTGTAGTGACAACCATGACATCTCTCGGCTTGAAACAACATCTCTGTCACCATTTTCGGCACCAAAGATCTTGGCAAACTTAGATATTTCTTGGGTATTGAGGTGGCACAGTCCAATGATGGTATTGTTATATCTCGGAGGAAGTATGCCATAGATATTTTGGAGGAAACTGGGTTGATGAGTTCAAAGTCTGTTGATACACCCATGGATCCCAATACTAAACTTCTACCAAATCGGGGGAGCCTATATCCGATCCCGAGCAATATAGAAGATTGGTTGGAAAATTGAATTATCTTACGCTTACTCGTCCCGACATTTCCTTTGCGATCAGTGTGGTAAGTCAATTTCTTAACTCACCATGTGAAGATCATTGGAATGCAGTCATTCGTATCTTGAAGTATATTAAAGGATCTCCTGGAAAAGGATTGTTATATGGTTCTAATAACCATACAAGAGTTGTTTGCTACTCGTGATGTCGATCGGGCGGGATCTCCTTCGGATAGAAGATCTACATCCTGGATATTGTGTCTCCATTGGTGGTAACTTGATCTCATGGAAAAGTAAGAAACAAAGTGTTGTGGCAAGATCCAGTGCGTAAGCTGAATATAGAGCTATGGCCTCAGCTTCCTCGTGAACTTGTTTGGCTCAAGCAATTGCTTGAGAGTTACAATTTGGAGATGTCACTCAAATGACACTTGTGTGTGATAATCAGTCGCTTCTTCATATTAGTTCTAATCCTCGTCTTTCATGAGAGGACCAAACACATTGAGATTGACTGTCATTTTATTCGAGAAAAGATTATGTCCGGAGATATCAAGACCGAGTTTGTTAACTCAAGTGATCAGCTAGCGAGATATTTTTACTAAATCTTTACTGGGTCCTAGAATTGATTATATTTGTAACAAGCTTGGCACATATGATTTGTATGCTCCAGCTTGAGGGGGAGTGTTAGATATTGTTTAGATATTATTTGATATTGTTAAGATATTGTTAGATATTGGTAACCACAATATCAAACAATATCTTCTCGTTTATTCTCGTTACTTTCGATTACTCTTTTAGTTGTATCTCTTTACTATAAATAGACCAACCTATGTGTGATTTATACACAAGGAAAATTAATTTCAAACCCTATTTTCTCTATATTCAACATTTATTAAACATAAATAAATTATATTTATTATCAAGAACTTGAAAAAAATATATACAAAAGTTGTTTATACAATATGCTGAAATAAGTAAATCTCATGTTCCATGTTCACTTAATCATTTGAATAAAATTAATTGATTAACAGGACGATTTAATGATTTGATAAGGAAAATATTATTCTTATTTATATAATATAATATTATTATTATATAGAATTTTATCATAGGATTAAAGTGACTTTGAAATTATATTAGAAATGAAAAAAAATGTTTATCTCAATTTTGTAAAATCGTTTAATTTGATGAAGATTATATATATATATATATATATATATATATATATATATATATAATATTTTATAAAAAAATTGTTAAATCTCATCATAATTAAAATTGATTTTGATATTATATTAAAAATAAAGATACTTAATTAAATCTTATAATAAAATGATAATTATATTGGTTTGTGTATTATAATATTACTGTAGAAATTTTATAAATTTATTTTGAAGAATATTTTATAAAAACCAAAATTTTAAATAAAAAATAACATAAGCCTAAAACGGTTTCCTTTAATATTTTTATTTTTATTAAAGTTTCATTGCTTTGTTGGTTAGATACTTTTAACTAGTACACCCACTTCTTTTTTTTTTTTTTTAATGCGGAGATGCATTTCACAGTATAGCTAAATTTATATAATTCTGACTACGTGAAATTATTATTTGTTTTATATCTGCATATTTAATGTATCTCAATTATTTGTACATTTCAATAAAAAAATAAACTTAACAATTTAAATTATTGATAATAAATTTAAACTACAGTATATTTATTTAAAAAATAATTATTGAAGCAGTAAATTGTAATTATAAAAAATAGATATTTTATGGCATAGTTTTTGGATGGCACAGATCTTGCTATTATGTGAGATGACAACCCGATGAAAGCAAATTATTAATTTCATATTTTATTATTTCATTACAACTTAACATGCTCCGTTATAACGTCAAATCATGTTTAAAAAGTCTACACTGACTTTTCACATATTTCATTTATTTTTAAATAATATTTTATTATTTTAACATTTTCTTTAACTAAATTTAAAAAACGTAAAGACTCAACAACTAACTAGTGTACATTTCAAATTTTTTAATAATAAATATAATTAATAAATAAATGATAAATATAATTTTAAACTTTATCAACGATAAAAATTTTAAAATATAAATTTTAGGCAAAATAGGCAATTAAAAAAAAGTGAATATTATTAGAGTTGCAAACTTATAACATACAATCTTCCGAATTCCATCTATAATCAGTTATTACGTAATAAATAAAATTATTTTTTAAATAATTTTCTGTCCGAACATGAGTGAAATATTTGGGTTTAGGGTTTAATACAGATTAATTTGTATGGGTTAAGTTTAAATACATTTATCTTTTAATATTTTTAGATAATATTTTCTCTATAAATAAAAAATACATATTTGCAATAGTGGAACTAAAAGTTAAATATTAACTAAAATTATAATTTTTTAAACAAAATATCACTACATAAATAAAAATAAAATTATATTTAATTACAAGAAAAATGCGATTTTTTATTTATTTATGAATGAAGGTAATGCATCATTTTGATTTGAGGTTTTTTACAATATTTAATCTGGTTTATTGTTGTGTATTTTTTAAGTGTAATTTTGATAAATAATTATATATCAATGATACAAATTTATTTAATAATATTATTTTGTTTAATATGATATTATATTTAGAAATTTACTTATTTTGAAAAACTTATTATACCATATAACTTAATTTCATATTTATTTTACTATTTAATTATATAATATTAATTTTAGTACATTATTTTGAATTTTGATGGAATTGGATTTGATTTAATTAGTAAATCAATTGTTTAGATACATAAAAATAAAATAGTAAATCATGATTATATATTGGCCATAGACACCTTAAGATACAAAATTGGAAACGACACCGTTTGCAAGTCGTCGGTTATTTTCTCATATATAATTGGCCACGATGGCCATTGAAGCAGCAAAATTCTACCTCTGCCTCTCGCTGAGCTCCATTTCTATTCCATCATTCCATGGCTGCCACTGCATCATCTCCTTTCAAGAAAATTCAGATTCAAAGGGATGACACTGTGAGTCTACCCTCTTTCACTCCCAATACATTTATTTTTCTTTATTTATAGACTATATTCACTGCTAATATTCACTTTTTTTACTGTTTTTGCTTACTATAGTTTCCATTCATTTATAAAGTATTATTTTCCTTGGTTTTGGAATTGCTAAAGCTATATTCATCTTTGACTTGTTTATATCCCTCTTGATCGGATTCTCTGAACATCTTTAGTGAAGATTTTGTCAATGTGTTGTGCTGATGAATTTTCGTCATAGATTGGGTCTTTATCAATTTCAGCTATTGTAACGGAATGCTACCTTCACTCCACATACCCTTGTGGACCATGTTTACTGTGGAAACTCTTATGAATGCCCAGTGGTGTTTCTCAATAATCTGTGTTTGGCAAATAAATTGTAGTTGGATCTGATTATTTCATGCTATGCTAGTTGTGACCTACTATACCCAATAAATTTAATGCATGTCTACGCTTGACGTAGTTTGCAGCTTGAAGTTGTGATTTAAATTTTAGATTGGAATGGGTTAAACAAGATATCGTTTCCACTCATGGTGTTGGACCTAAAATTTTTCTATTCCCTTTACCTTTTCTCCATCATAGTGTAACTATTCCGTGTTTGCTATCCAAGATGGAACTCACAATTTTTATGTGTTATCGAAATTTTGTTTCCAATGTTCAGACATTTGACGCATACGTGGTCGGAAAAGAGGATGCTCCTGGAATTGTTGTGATTCAGGAGTGGTGGGGTGTGGATTACGAAATTAAGAACCATGCTGTGAAGATTTCCCAGCTTGGTACTGGGTTTAAAGCTCTAATCCCAGAGTAAGATAAGATAATGGAACTTTAGGGCTTGTTTGATTTGAGAGATTTTTATTGTTTTCATTTTTAATTAAACATATATTACATTGTTTACATTTCATTTATTGTTTTCAAAAGTTCACATAGAACACAATGAAAACAATTTTTTTTTTTTTTAATTTCTGTCTTCACCATTCCTATTCAAACTTAAAATAGAAATTAAAACACAGCATTTTCTCAAACCAAACAACCACTAGTTTTTCCTAACTTCTTTTTTACGTGCCAATGTTTCCCATGCTATGCACATTTGGATGACCAATGAGTTTTACTTTTTTACCAGTCTGTACCGGGGAAAGGTTGGTCTGGATGTTGCTGAGGCTCAGCATTTGATGGATGGTCTTGATTGGCAAGCAGCTGTCAAGGATATTGCTGCTTCTGTTAACTGGCTTAAAGAGAATGGCTCAAAGAAGGTTTGGCATTACTTATGTTTTGTTGATGTGCCTTTAGAGTTCATTGTGCCTTCTTTTATCATTATGCAAATTGTTGAAGAAGGTTCTTCAACTTTTTATCAACTCATAAATATATAAGCTAACCTTAGTGTGAGGTTTGAAACGGGTTACTTTATTCTTAATAAGTTTTTTATAAACAGACTGAATGAGTGAAAAGGAAGTTGATTCGGGCCCTTAAAGATAACTATGGCTTGTAATTTACTTTTGATATCTCTAGGTTTGCTGCTTTTGGATTTTGATTTGGAATTTTAGTGTTAAACTAGATTTATACTTTTGAATTTTGATACAGTAACTAGTGAAATAGTGGATCTGAAATCCTTAACCGACAAGCAGTCAACACATAATCTTTCGGGGCCATTTTCCTGTCATTTGTGAAAGAGGAATATTTTTTATGATCATGTTGATAGATTGACCTAATTAAGTTGGAATTGCTTTACAGGTATGCTTTTTAAATCTATCATACAAATAGTACATAATTTCCTGAGCTTTATTGTTTTACTATAAAGATAGGTCTCTCAGTAGTGTGTTTGTTAGAGGAGTTGCTGGATTTTAGATATAGCAAACTAGTCTTATAATGCTTGATATGGTTGATTGTGTACATAGAAGTGCCAAATAGCATTGGTTTATATGTTATTCAATTAAGTTTTTTTGGTTAAAATATTAGGAGTAAACATTTTGCATTAATTATTGAAGATATTTCATTATCATTTATTGCAACAGGTTGGTGTAACTGGATTCTGTATGGGAGGTGCTCTCTCTATTGCCGGTTCTGTCTTGGTTTCAGAGGTTGATGCTGCTGTAGCATTCTATGGAGTTCCTTCTTCTCAGCTTGCAGACCCTGCTCAAGCCAAGGCTCCTGTTCAGGCTCACTTTGGAGAGCAGGATAGTTTTGTTGGCTTTTCAGACGTTACAGTATGATATTTTCCTTTGAATTCTATCTTAATTTCATTCAATTTTCATTAGTAAGGCACAGAAATTAATTATCGTTCATGAGTTTTTTACATTTCTGACTGAATCATTGAACAAAATACAAGGCTTGTATCCTCATAACTTTTGTTTAATTCCATTCTCTATTTTTCATCTTCCTATCATCAACCACTTATACCAAGCATACCCAGACACCCTAAATAAAATTGAGGAAATTTTGAAGTTTATATGATACAGTTTTCAATTTCCCCAAGTGGGTCTCTTTTGAGAGAGATAACTGCAAACAAGGTTATAAACAGTCTGACCTTGTATCACTTATTGCCAAATAAATCCAATGAATGTGTGCATCTTGTCAAGCATATACTTTTTTTTTTACATCTTAACCGTGCTCTTCTTTTTAAAACTTATTTGAAAATTGTGCCTTTTTTTTTGTGTTGAGTATGTTGTCGTTAGTAGAGATTCACCCTTGTGAAGGAAGGAGAGAGCACAATTGTGTTATTGTTCAAAGATGTATTGATGTTATTGTGAAATCATTCAAATTTCATCTATTGAATAATGTATTGATGTTGTTTGATGTCTCAGGCGGCCAAGGCCTTGGAAGAAAAGCTGAAGGCATCCGGGGTTCCACACGAGGTACATATCTATCCTGGCAATGCACATGCATTCATGAACAGGTCCGCAGATGGAATCCAGAGGAGGAAGAACATGGGAATGCCAGATGAAGATGAAGCTGCAGTTCAGCTTGCATGGTCTCGCTTTGAGACATGGATGACTCGTTACTTGTCTAGTTAGATAATTTCCTACCTCAATTCTGATATCAAATGCTGCATGTGTATTCCACCTTTTAAGTGGTTACAAACTGGAATATCTGCTGCTTGTTACCGTGGTTTTTTCCTGAAGTTTGGTATGCTTATTTGTGAAGTTTGACATGGGAATTATATTTAAACAGTTGTGGCTTTTCTTTAAACTGTGCTAAACATTGTTATTGTTGTTATTGGCTTGTGATGGTGGCTATTTGTGTCTGAAAGTCGCATTGAGTTGAGTATTTTTTGAGCCTCTAGCGCATGCCGAATCGAAAGAAAGAAGTGATGTGTAATAGTTTGATAGTATGGTGTCTTGTAGAGGATGGGTATTGTGAAGCTGTTACACTTTATTTTGTGGTTGTACCTGAAAAAAATTCACAACTCCATCTAAAGTGCATGAAAGGTTAAAATTTTTGTGTACAAAATATGCATAACCATGTGATTTTTGGCACCCGTTGTTAACATAGTCAAACTGAACATCTCCAATCAGCTCCGAACCAAACTGATTGCATTGCTATTTCCATGCTTGCCATAAGAATGTTGCATGCACTAACCTTTAAATCAGAAGTTTCTCAGTTTAGGTCAAATTTCCACCGTTTTGGCATTGTTAATTTGTGTAGTATTAGTGTGACGATGGATGCCCATGGGAGGATGAGTTTGCCTAGGGTTTCCTAACATACAACCATACTTCCATGGAGAATGTTGTGAAAAATAGCATGGCTATTCATCCGTTCGAGGAATTGGGTTAATGGTCTCAGAATAAAAAAATTAAGTCCTTGATTGACTCGGTTAGTTCAGTTTAATTAAAAATAAAAATAAAAATATTATATATATAACATAATTTGATAATTTTAGTTAGTTTTAAAATAAATAATAAATGAAATTGAAGATAATATGCTTTTTAAGTTCAAAATATAAAATATTTTTATGCTAAAATAACTAATGTCCAAAATAGAAATATAACTAAAAACACAAATTCATAAAAAGATTATATATATATATATATATATATATATATATATATATATATATAAATTTAATTTCAAAATTAAGAATTAGACACTTATTTTTTATACTCATTATTTTTTAATTGAATAATATACAATAATTTATTTCAATCATTAAATTAAAAAAATTATTAAAATAAAAATTAAGACTTTAATTCTTATTCTCGTTAAAACTATTTTACTTCAATTAATTTGCTCTCGATTTTACATATATTCATCAACTATATATATTTATAAGTTATTATTTAAATATAAATAAATTTACATTTAATATTTGACAATGATTTTTTTAGTTAGATAAGTCTTTCTAAATCTCTTTAAATCTATTTATGACACAATTTCTCAATAAGGTAAATTATTATTAAACAGGTTAAATTGAAGATATAGTGTTGTTTTATATTCGTCATCTTCTAATTTTTTTATAAAGATTCTTCTACGATTTGTTCCTCTATCAATAAAATTAAAATTAACTCATCAAAATAATTATTTTAATAACATACAAGTGTCTTCTTATCGAAACAATATGAACTTTTTCGAGACATCACCAGACTTAAAAACCCACTCAAATTCATATCTTTCATAAGACACTTTGCTTTAGTATTCAAAAGTTTTCTGATACACATAATTTTCATAAGAGACAAGTGCATAACATACTCGCATATGAGTAAATGAGAGATAATAAGAATTATATACTTCAGACTTTTAGATAAGAGAAAACTTAGAGAGAAGACATTTTTAAGAAAGGAAACTTGTGTGTGTGACATTTTTTTTTCTTATTATTCTTTGTATTAGAGTAGCAGGTCAAAAAAAATATTACATATATGTAAAAGTAATTTACATCACTATACATACATACACACACACACATACATATATATATATATATATATATATATATATATATATATATATATAAGATATACAAAAGAAAAAGGAATTTTATTTTTGATTCCTTCTATTTTTTTCTACAATTTTACAAATATCTACATTCTTAGGTAGAAACAAAGCTGATTAAGGGGTTTTGGAAAAAGGTAGGAGACATACAAAAGGTAATCACTACTTGGTCCATCTAACATAATGAGATTTCCCATATTAGATACAAATGTTATTATTGATAATCCTGTCCCTCTAAAAGTAACCGAGTTGTCTATAACGTTCGTGTTCCAAGTAGTTCCTAGGAAGAAGACAGTGATGCTTGTAGAAAAGGGATTTGAAATATTTGGCGTCTCCATCTACTTAAGTTGGTGTTTAAATAAAACATGCACAAAAGATCACAATAGGGAGTGAGAACATTTATCATTTACAATAATACAATCTTATAATATATATATATATATATATATATATATATATATATATATGTTTCAACTTCCTCAACACATTCTATTTTATGAAGATTTAAATTAAATTTGTACTGACTAGTCAAGATAAATAAGCCCAATTTTAATCACTCTCACAGTGATATTTACTCATTTAAATCCCCAAGGTCCAATATCCATCGACAATATCATCAAATCTTCACAAATAGATATTATTATAATTGAATAATATAATTATAAATTAATAAATAGGATCGTTGCATTACTAGAGATAAAATAAAGTAAACAAACAGGATTAGTACATAACTAGAGATAATTAAAATACTTGGAGATAAAATAAAATAAACAAACAGGACCAGTACATAACTGAAGATAATTAAAATATGGACCAAGTAGCAAGACTCGAAGATAAAATAAAATAAACAAGTGAGGACCATTACGTAGTTAGAGATAAATAAACAAATAACTAAATGAATAGAATGAGGTTAATGACGTCTCACTCCACAACTATAAGCAAAATAAAATGGATTTAATGATAATATTCTCCTCCCCTACCTTAAGAACTGCGGATGAGGTACCAAAATTTTGTAGAGATGATTTTATCTTTCTCTTTCTTTTGTCTCCTTATCTTTCTCCCTTTCTCTTTTTTTTCTCTCTTTCTCTTCCACCCTCTCTCTTTCTTTCTCTTTCTCCCTTTCTTTCTATTTCTCTCTCCTACTTCATTTTCTTCCTACGGATCTTCTCCCTTTCCTTTTTTATAGCAATTTTTTTTCTTTTTTATTTATTTAATTACGTAACCATAAATGTAGTAATTATGATTTTGATAAGGTTTATCTTTTAAGATAAGATAACTTTATCTTATATATATATATATATATATATGTATGTATATATTAAGAAAATTAATAATTAATAATTTTCTTTTCTTTCATTTTTATAAATATAACAAATATATATATATATATATATATATATATATATATATTATAATAATTTATCAATAATAACAATTTTTTTTAATATATGCTTATTTTATTATAAATATATTTAAATTTTTGAGATGTTACGGTATTATATTGATTTTGCTTTGAAACATTACAAGTCTTTCTATTTATAAGCACACCATACAAGTGGAATTGAAAATCTCACTAAACTAAATTGAAATTCAGACCCAGAAATATCATATAAGTTGGAATCCGAAGATAAGATTGTGACTCACACCTATTATGACCTTACAAACAAGATAAGATAAGATATGATAGGATAACCTATCTTTTCAAATAAAAAACAGATTCTTTCTTACCTCCTTTAATTCATTTGGAGTACAAACAATGAACATGTGTAAAGATAAGAGAATCTTGTTTTAGTAACTTGTCATAATGACAGTCATTAACTAAAACTCTTACTTTGAATAAGATCTGGTAGAATTGGAACAATTCATTTGTTGTGTTTCACTCCTTTTCATACTTATGTATAGTGGGTCCCAATAACGACACATCCTTTTGTGAAGCATCATTGCTTCCATCAATTCTTCATTGTAATTATTTTCAAATTTTCAATTTTCTAGAACTCTTCTTTAGATACGTATAACTCAATTGTTGATTTGAAAAATATTATCTTTTGGGAACCATCATCTTTTGAAATGATCCTATCAAGAGGATACAAATTAAATGGTCTTTGAGATGAACTGACAACATTGGGGTCCATCAGTTTATAATGATAGTTATTAACTTCACAAAGATGTTTAACCAGTTGGGTTATGTAGCTATTATCTAAAGGATATGTTTCAAAGCTTCCTCAGATGTAAGCTTAATTTTTTTTTATCATGGTTGTCCTATAATATTATGAAAATATGGACGGTGGATGTTAAGCTTGAAGTGAGAGCTTTAAGAGAGTCCCCAGTCATTTCCCTTTGTCGTAAGAAATCTATGATTCTTTTCAATTCTTGTCTTCACTAAGATAGAGGTGAGAACCATTCCAATAATAAAACTTTTCTTTGTAAGGATCAAACAGAATCTCAAAATTTGTTTGTGTTTTTAAGGCAATGAGGATGAAATACTAAATAGTGTTACATCATATCGCCCCCAAAGTGTTGACTCACAGAGATCTTGTCCAGGTTCACAAAATATTTAAAAAATGCCTTCAAAAGGAATATCAAGATACAAAATAGCTGTTAGAGAGGTTTTTCATTTTAAAGTTTCATGGAGAAAATAAAAATAACAAGATTTTGCATATTGAAGGATTTCTGCTGGAGAGGTTGAGTTTAGTTCAGAGGATAGAATCTTATAGTTTTGACTTTGTTGGATAAATGTTTGACCATAAATATGAGGGAAAAACTATGAGTGTCAGAAATTAATTGGATAATTTTCTTTGGTCTTACAAAAAATCAAGAATTGTGTTTTGATTTCTCTTGATATGTTTAACAAAAAAATCATACCTAAAAAATCCCTCATTTAATCTGAGGATTTGAGGATCAAGAGACATCATATTCTTGTATTCTAGGTTCCTTGGGAAAGAAGAGTTGTCCATTTTTACTTCAAAATGATGTCTTCTGAGATGGAAGTCGAACTTTTTTATTCCATTTTTTATACCTAAGACTTCCTTGAAACTAGTGTAGTAGTGTTTATCAACATCTTTGAACTATCCAGTAGCATGACCACAAT